TTGTAAGCTCATCCTTCTCTGAAGAAGGCTTTTCCTCAGTTACTAATTAAGGTGAAGAAGCAGCACACGTGAGCCTCGGAAAACAGACCCTACACGGATCCTCTTTTTCTTAATACAATTTAAAGAGTGGAACTTCTTTTCAAACGAGGCTGGAATTGTCCCATTGGTGTTGATCTCGACAAAGTCGGTGACAATTCCTGAGATTTTGAATCTGCTCAATGCTGTCATCTCCAATAATTTACAAAACTTGGATCTCTAAGCATCGATCCTTGATTAAGTGCATGGATTTCGTGGTCACCGTAATGGAGATTGTGATTATCAGCTGCCAGATAGCTCATTCGTTTCGTCAAACGTGCTTGCCATCAAGCAGGTTGCAAAACAGAGATGGATCCGAACTCTTCATTCGCAGAGCGTATTTGTCGAGAAATTCTGATCCAGGTTACGCAAGCATGGTTTCATGCGACTTCAGTGTTTTGATGCATTCTAAGTCCAGTATCAACCACTTACATCAAGGGCCTCATTCGATACAAAGTTCCTACTTTCACAAATAATTGGTAGATTACATCGTAGAATCGAACTTTTACCTGGTTTTTCATGGAAATTGGAGGTTACCAGCAGCCAAATTCCCTATTATTGACACCTTTACGTAGACCCAAGCTATCCTTGTTCTGGAATAGAGGTAAAAAAATTCAGAAGCCCACGAAGGGCTAGAATCCTGTATCCTAAATCCGTAATATACAAGGCTACTTTTGTATGCAGGCATAACGTGAATTAAACGATTCTGTGTCCATCTTCGAACTACTCAACCTTGTGCAGATTCTCATAAACTTGGACATAGAATCGTTTAGTTCACGTTATTTCAATAGTAGGACATGGAATCGTTTCCTTACTACGTCTAGGTGTTGATACGTATGCTGGGTCTACGTATAGCTGCGGGCATCAATGACCATTGTGCTCCATAACAAACTCCTACGATGATGGAACCCGCATACAAAGAGCCTGTCACAGCGGATGCCATTATCAGATGCCCGATGCACATTGATCCCTGCACATACCAAAACCAAATGATCAAAAATGAAATCATATCAGAGCCCATCGATCAAAACATGGCTACTACCACCAGCCAGAAATCCAATGAAGAAATTGCTTGACTAAGAGGAATCATGTGGAAATTGTTAATCAACAAAAAGGAAGGAACCGGCGTCGTTAGGATACATGATGAAGAAGACTTGAGTCAAGATAGCCCCGCTCAGCTCTAAGAAGGCCTTGCAATAAACAATCGTAATCTTATGTCAATCTAATCAATTTACTAGATAAAATTAATTAATTAAAGAATCTCTTTCATTATTTAAACCATTGTAATTTTAGTTCATAATAGTGTGCAGTGAAAACCCTCAATAAAGTGTTGAAAATTCCTAAATTCTTTATTTATTTTAATAATGGTTTTTTCTTAATTTATCCAAATTATTTGAATTGTTTAAAAATTGCATTGCTAACTATTCATCTTGGCTTCTTATCTTTGCATAGATTAAACCATTATCCATAATCTTTATGTCTATTTCAGTATTAATATACATCTTGATTTAAACTATTTGTTGATCTTATCAACTACCTATGTTCAATATTAACATGTAATTTTTATTTTTATTTTTTTGTATAAACTTCTTTTGATAATAAATTGATTTTAGAAACATGGTCAACTAATACCACAATTAGTTTTTATAACTATCACAATTTTATTAAAAAAATTATAGTAACTTTAGTTCAATGACTATAAAAATAATAACTTGAAGTTTAAATCACATCTTTAATTTCTATGAATTATACTTATATAACATCTCTAAATAATTCTAATTAAATTTATTTATATTTATTACTTCTATTTCTTTTCTTCCATGTGTATTTGATGTCATAGCATTATTAATAGTTCAATGTTTCTTCTTTATTGTATCAATAATAACTTCATAAAAGTCATGCTTTGTAATTTTTAGGATTTTATCAATTATAAATTCAACCTTTTTATATAAAATTTGTTCCTCTAATATCTTCTTTAAGTCTATAGTGGTATCAATATCTGATTATAAATTATAAATAAAAATATTATTTTTCATTTTTATAATTTTTTGCTTTTATTATAAAAATATATTCTATTTTTTCATGCATAGGATTTTTTTTTCTCTTTTTTTGTATATCGTTTTGATGGCCATTCATTAAATTTATTTTTTCATTAAATTTTAATTAATATTTTATAATGAATCCTTGAAATATATACATAAATTAATAAATCATCTATTAGATTGTCCTACCTACTAATTTGTTGAATGTTATTGCCAATACAATATAAATCATTTCTACTAAAAAAAAATTTATTTTATTACATATTATCTTATTTAAATGTCATAAACATACATATGTACTCTAATATTTTTCTATATGATTAAGTAGAAGTAAATATGATAAAAGTAGTTTTATTTCATAATATTTTCTAAAGAAGCTTCATAGGCACTGTATTGACTTTACATGTGTTTGTAGTTGATTGGTAGGTTAAAAACTTGATCAATAAGTTAATCATATGTTAATAGCTTATGGAATAAGCTAACTATGTGGCACACATATAGAAAACTTGTCTTAGAAGTTAAGATACGTGTCTTGCAAAGCCAATACATTTTAGAGGTCCTATGAGACATTGCTACGTAGCTCTTAGTTAAAAGTATATATAGAAGCAAGAGTGAAGCCTTCTTCACTCTTATAAATGCCTTTCTAATCTTTAGTCTTGTTTCAAGACTTTCTAGATTTCTTGTATTTAGCAATAGCTATTCTAGTTTAATATTCTATCATCTTTGAGTGATTTTTTAGTCTTTTCAAGTAACACAAGAGTGTATTAATATTTTAGTTCTTTGATATTTATGCCCTTAATATTAAGAATATACTAGACTTTTAGTTGTAATAAGTTGAGTTGAATTTTGCAACTATCTGAAAAATCTTCTTAGTTAGATTTTGACTAACTAAGAATAATTTTATTTGATTTCAACATAAGATGTTTTGATTCCAATATAAAGTATTAAAAAAGTAATCTTTATAATAACCAAAAGCAAGTACAAATTTTAATTAAATTATTACTCTTATTCTTTTATAACTTAAAATTTTCCTTACAAATCCTAGTCCTAGTCAATAGACTTCAATAAGGCATGGCTCTCAATTTTACTATTCAAATTATGTAAAAAAATAATATAATATTACTATAAATTTTCTTTACATTACCAAAAATTCAGCCTAAGTGAACATATTAATTGTATAAAAAAGAGCCAAAAAAACCACATTGATGTTTCATGCCCGCCAACTTGAAAGTTGATATTGAAGTTGTAGTAAAAACTTCTTGCTTTCTAATTGTTAACTTTGGCTCAAAAGTGGTTTGTAGCTTGTTCATAAAGGCTTCTGAGTATGTACTAAGTTTTATCTTATTCCAACTAACATACCTTTACATATCACAAAAAACCTAACCAATCCTAAAATTTCCTAAATTATTTAAAAAATGATTTTTGTTTATATTTTCTCTATATAGTTTTGTTACAACACAATATTATTTTTAGCATAACTAATTGTAATTGACTATAAAAAGCTAGATTGTTCTAAAAAATTTAATTTTATACTTTGACAATTTCTTGGATTTTATTTCACTCAATATATTAAAATTTATTACATGACTAAGAATAAGTCTAATTTTATTATTTGTTTTGATAAGGTGAAATACCTTAAGTACATAATAGAAAGTTACAACCTAATGCCAAGATGCATATTACTATACTAAATATATAATTAATTACCTGGTACAATATATATCTATTACAAGCTCCCACTATCCAAACAAACAAAGAAAGAAGATCAATGTATTACAAGAAACTCATATAGTTGATTGCAATACAACAAACCAATAGAATAGAGAAACATATAACCAATGTCATTTGAATTAGCTTCAAATTTAGATACAAATTCATGTGTTATCACATGAGTTTAATATCACTATATGAAACAAACCTACAAAATCCAATCACTAAAACCAATACAAAATCCGTACACACAATCTAGTCAAAAACAAATCAATGTCATCACAAAAGCAAGTCTACGAGGCATTATGTCAAAATACAAACTCATGTGTTATTTACAAAAATCTAGTGACACCATATAAAACCAATATACAAAATCCAATCATTAAAACCAATACAAAATCAACATATACAATCTTGTCAAAAAAAAGTTGATATTATCACAAAAGCAAGCTTACAAGGCATTATAACAAGGCTTTGAAGGGGAGACAAAAAAAAAAAAAAAAAAAAAAAAAAAAACTCTTCAAAGAGCATCTTGGTTCATCAATAAGTTATCTTAAGATTGTCACTTGCATCACACAATAAGGGTTAATATTCACTCGAGACTTGACTAGATATCAATAAAATTAATTTTTCACTATTGAGCATTGTATTTGCCCTCTCTCAACCTACTCACCAAAGAATATAGATAAAAATAAAAATATTTCTTTTGACAAAATAGATCATTATGTATGGCATTTGATTAATTCACTCTCTCAACCTACTCACAAAAGAATATAGATAAAAATAAAAATATTTCTTTTGACAAAATAGATCATTATGCATGGCATTTGATTAATTCACTAAGTCATTTATTTATTTATTTCTTATGTTTGTTGTTATTGCATAAAGAATTAACAACTTAAATTATAAACATAAACCAAGATCTAAATATGAGACCAAAATTGATATTAAATAATTGGTTTAATACATCATGTTTAGTTTAGATCTACTATCATGGATTCCATATTTCAAAATCAATGTCAATGTGTTTCAATATTACTACTTTTTTTTTAAAAAAATCAAGTATTAAATATTCGAACCTAAGTCTCTTTCTCTTACTTGAAATTTCTATTCTCATGCCACATAGAAAACCACGTCCGACAACACGAAATCTTGCTCGAAACCCTAAAATCCACGCTATTGGGCTCACATGCAACGATGTCGATGGTGGAAGTGCGATTGGATGAGTGATTTCTTGCTGCATTTGCCGATTAACGGATTGCGAGTGGCCTGTATTAAGGCCCAAATTTCGCAGCTCGCACATCGACGACTGAAGATGGAGTTCTGACAGCATGGAATTCGACGAAGCGGGTCGGGGGGGGAGGGTGGGGAGGGTTGAAGTGGGCGAAATTGTGAGGGTTCGGCAGATGTTGTGCTTGGAGTTGTTTGCATTCGGAAGCGCAGTATGTCCAGATTGGCGTTCACGAAGCCCCAGCATCTCCGTTTAGAGTTTTTCCTCAGTTGGTACGAATTCTCGTTTCCTGTTTTGTCCAGAGTGTTTGAATTCCAGGGGATGCCCAGTGCGAGTTTGGGGCGGTGGGGTTTCGGACGGAAGAATCTAGATTAGTCTGTTTAGCGCATGTATGCTTTAAGTTGCCGGCAAATATGGTTTTGCATCATCGAAACAAAGTCAGATGGAAATTTTTTCTCGATGTGTTGAGGCAGTTGAGAGTTGGAACTTCTAGGAATATATCTGTCCGGAGTGGCGAATGTATCCTGTATGTATGCTTTAGATTCTGCACGTAGTGGATGACTCCATTTGACCTCCTCGACTATCTGCTATGATGCAGGTCGAACTGGACCTGTGCTTTTGTGGAACCCACTGTAAGAATGTCAGCCACTTCTTTGATCCAACGATACGCGTGTTCGTGTAGTAGAGTAAGTTTGGGTGGTGCAGTTGAAGCAGACATCTCACATTCTGGAACTCCGGGTTTGATTAGACGTTGTGCGGCAAGACCTCAAAAATTCGATTCCGTATACCGAAACCAGCAAAGAAAATCTACCTCACGATATGGGTATGCTGAAAGCAGGATTCTCGGAGACGAAAATACCTCGAAGAGTGGCGATCGACAAACAACCCAGGATCAGGTACTGGTGAAATCTGCTGTTGCGAGTTTCTGCCTGTCTTTTGATCGTTGTAGGGCTATTGTAAGTTTAATTTAATGAAGAGCTTTCCTTCATAATTAATTTTCATTAGGAGTAAATCGTAAGTTAGTTCGTTTTTTCAGTTGATGGTTTTCCAAATAAAAAAACTTGCACTTAATGGATTTGATGAGATAATATTGCGAAGGATTTTAGAGGCATTCATTGAAATTCATTGATTTGGTGAAACTTGTTAAAGATCGTGCTGATCCTTCAATACGCTTTCTTGTGTTGCAGATTATTCAGAACATCAAAAGAAATCCTTTAGACAGCTGGACACTATGGCAGACCCAGAATTGCAGCGTTCAAGATATTGCTGTAAATGGCTATCTCTTTTAGAAGATTTGCAGATGTTGAAATTTCGTAGCTCATTAAGGGGTTACTCGAGGCGTGTAGTTTATATCTATACTAGTTCTGTGAGAAAGTTGTATGGTTTGGAAGTAATTACTACGTATTTATGAAGGTCAATTAGGAACGAGGTTGTGTCTGGATCCAAGTGTTACTGTCTGAAAAATCAGTTTGTTGATTTGGTACTTTTTTCAGTTAGTTTGTTAATTTGGTTTGATAAGTGGTTTTATTTGAATTGTAACAGCGGATGCGAGGCATAACAGAACTTCAAGTTTATGAACAAATCTGTGAATGTGTGCAACAAGGCAATGAAATAGACTGGTATGAACTCTGCCAGGAGGCTGGGTTCTCAACAACCACAGTCTTGGACATTAACTTCGCAAAACTAGATGCTGAAAAAACTATGGAGGACCAGCTTGGACAACAACTTGACGAGTTTGGTCGCGTTCCAGTCCAGTGTGGCCTTCATGTTAAGCATTTACCTCTTCTTGTTGTCCTGTATTCCTTCATTTTTTACTTGCGATGATTTAGAGCCTGCAAGAACTCATAAGATCCGTCACGAAAGGTGGTGTGAATGAGTAGGCCATACTTCCAGCTTTCCGCAGTGTGGATACGAGTCTATGATATTATTAATATGATTCTCCAGTGGCTACAAGTCACTGATGTGTTGTTTTCTGCTGACGCAGGTAACTGACGTTCATGTCTTATTATACAACACAATGATGGCATGTGGAATCACACCGCTTGAGATAGTCCCTAATCCAATTGAGGAGCGACAGAGCCAAGTTTTTATGCAGATAACTGCTTCAAATAAAGTGCCCTCTCTTCCTAAAAAATCCATTGTAACAAAGAGTAAAGCAGCCGCACATGATGTTACTTCTGCAAGCAAGGGTCCCAATGCGAAGGTTACATCAAGCGACAAGAGCCCTACTACGGAAGAAGCAGATAACAAAAAGACGCCAAGGAGGCTCACTCAAAAGCACATGCTGCAGTGGATGACTGAGAGGAATGGGGTAAGCAATCAGAATTTTCTATGAATGAACTGTATTATTGAAAGCTATGTCGACATCTGTACTTCTGGAGTGTTGAGATTTGCAATGCTGGACTTCGGCTTGGTTGAGTCCGGCTTCTTAGATAGAAAAGTGGTATCTGTCTTGTACTCATGAATTTGCACGATGTATGAATGTGACCTGACAAAGTCGTAATTGATTTCTCCAGGTTACATTAATGGAGCTTGTTTCTGAATTTCAAGGTTACAATGAGTGCCAACTAATGCGGCTCATTCTGCTGTTGGAGAGGAAGAACGAAATTTTTCTTGACTGGAGAGGAAGTCACGGAATATTCAGAGTGACTGAAAAAGATGAACAATCCATGTAATTCGTTGCCCCGGCGTGTTCGAACAGAACTGTAATTAAATGATTGTGTTCATTTCAAAAGTGAAGGATCTAGTGTCGTGTTAATGATACAGGTGTTCAGCTATAGTCTGAGAGTCATGGGCTGACGACCCAAAATTTATTCTCCTCACCTCTTTAAAAAAACACTCAACTACGCATTATTAATAGATGTATCACAAAGGGGCAACATGAATGCAAGCTGGGATGTACGTAGAACCCAATGCATCGCAAAATTTGGGAGTAGTTGATACGACTAACTATTCACGATAGCACAAGTCAGAAATTTTTTGCAGAATCAAGTGGCCAAGTCGATGGCATGCATATGTATTTTGGGTAGGCCACACATACCACCATCCCTTCAATTTTGATTTCGGACAAGCACACTGCACAATCTTCAAACAAACATGTGTAACTTGTCACAGAAAACTTCGACAGAAGTGCACAACTCCAAAGTTTAGTATTGGACATTTAGATCGGCATAAAGTCATTTATCTGCAAACTTGCGGCAATAACGGACGTCTGGAAGGTTGTAGAAGAAGCATACCAGCCGTCGGTCTGACTCCACATCACACTGGATCTACGTCGGAAAATATTGTGGTGCACGAAAAGATTAGATGTTGCAGACTGCTACTGTGGCTATGAATCTAAATTTTGAACATCGCAAAAGTTCTGCCCTATCAATAGCCCTTCCATAAAATCTTTGTTAGATCGAACACATTAATACAACTTAGCTCAGACGAGTCCTATATGGCGCAAAATGCCCCTTGATGGTTGTCTGAAAAGCTCTTTTAGTGCTTGTAAAGAAGACAGAATGATGCTTATATCACTTCCACGCCTTCCCTTCTAAACCCTTGTGTTCTACTAGAAATCAAGTTCATACGAAGTCCAATGGACTCAGGAACACAGGAGCGGCTTATACAAAAAATTATTCAAGCTCTAACGGAGCAGATGAATTGCTGTTATGGACTCAGAAACATAGACTAGTGATACAGACAATAAGCCAGAGCCAGCCTGGACACCCTACCATGTGAGCAATTTACAAAATTGACGCTACAAAACTGTGCTTTTCTCTGCATGTGTAATATTCAAGAGAAGATCCTCGACTTCACCTCAAGGAATGCTCTCTCTTCTGAATTGGGAAAGATGCAAATCCTCGACCTTCAAAATGAATCAATGTGAGCAAGAATTCTTAGAAGGAAATTGTTCACTTCGTTATGTCTCGTCTGCCCTGGCGTTTCACTAAGCACCCTGCCTAGATGTAGAATTGTCCACATTACCTTGAGAGAACTCACCAATGTCCACGTCTACCGCTCTACGATCCAAATGGTGAAGAAACTCTCATTTAAGCCCGACCAGCGTCATACAAATGAGGATTCGCGCAGGCAGAGAGAGGGCAACCCCACAACCTAGTTGATTGAGTCATCGCACATCTGAAGCCTCCACTGCAGAGATTCGAAATGGTGTCAATCATCTACCATCTCGCAGATCGTCGTATGATTTTCTGATGCCCTTGGGATTGATATCAATAGGATCGTATTCGTCGCTAAAATTTGGTGGAGGCGGAGGAGGTGCGAAAGTACTGGAGCTTACACTGCCACTCGTATCGCTGGAGGCAACCGAAGAATTACCCAACTGTCCAGGTCTAGGGGGAGCAGCTCTTGTAGGAGGCAAACCTGACAAGGAAGTGTGAGTCACATTTGGCGGCACAGGGATGGTTGCAAGAGAAGCTCTTCCAGTTCTCACTGAGACGGGAGGACGTCTAGGGGGCTGCTCCACGATGTTGGAGCGCGTATCCCCAGGCCTGGAGTTACCTGATTCAAACTCATTGCTCGAGTCTACTGTCCCAGTAGGATACAAACTACTAGAATACTCACTAGTGTACTCACTTCCGTGTGATTTGTTCGTATCCCTTCTCTTCCTTCGCAACACGTCAGAGTTGTATTCCTGAGTATCGTAGTCGGAGCCCCCTCCATACCTATCGAAGCTAGGTTCATGCTCCGAGCTGTGTCCTGGTCTCAGATCATGGTAGAGACCCGCGTTCTCTTCTTCACTTTCCAAGACTCTTACAACCTGTGGAAACAATGATAACAGGTATCAGGCAGGCTCTTAAATCAGAAAATAAAACAGGGAATCGTATGACATACCAGCAGCCGAGCTCTCAAAAGCAGCACCTCATGAGCCACTGAAAGAGACAACGCATCACAAAGGATCTCACGAAAGCTAAATGCCGACAATAAACAAGATATCGAAGGGTTGCAATATACTGAACTTTTCCTTTATCATATAACATAGTGTTGGACTTCAGCAAATATTTACACTTTGAAAATAGCTTTTGTAGAAATTCCTACAGCTTCTTTCATGTTTCTTAGTACTAAAATTGATGAAAAAATCCCATTGTTCCACAAACTGCTATTTGCGCTCTCTCAAAATTGGAGATATTTAAGTCAAAAAAACCTCCAGAGATATTTAAGGAGCGAATTAACAATTTAAAAAGAGCGAAGTAAACTAATCTGGGATATTAGTATATAAGCATTAGATTAACCTCAAGTCTACGGAGTTATTAAATCGACCCACCTTTCCAGAATTACAGGTCAAAAAACTGTTTAAAACATACAATATTTAATTGATCTAGTTTTACACATCTTTAGAAATGAACGCGACCCAAAGCCATGGTATCTGAAGCTTAAAACGCACCTGTCCCATTTTAGGGCGCTTTGAGGCTGTGTGACGAACACAAGATGCCGCTACCTCTATCATCCGGAACATCTCTTTATAATTGTATCGACCATCCAGTCTAGGATCCACAAGCTCCTCCATATTCCCGGCTAGTGCCTCCCCCAACAGTGGCCGAGTCCATTCCACCAAGCTCTCTTGCCCAGCTGGGTTCCTTGTATCAATAGGCTTTCGCCCCGTGATGAGCTCCAAAAGTACCACGCCAAAGGAGTACACGTCCGACTTCTCTGTCAGTTTGCCACTCTGGGCGTATTCTGGAGCGAGGTACCCAAATGTTCCCATCACGCGAGTTGAAACGTGAGTGTGTGTGTCTGATGCCAGCTTTGCCAGTCCAAAATCAGCGACCTGCAGAAGAAGGAATGTGCAATTAAAACCTAAAACTTGACACAAAAATGTTACTAGTATGCATACCAAAGTAGGCACTTTACGCAACAGCAAAGTGTGTATGTGAGAGAGAGAGAGAGAGCCCACCTACTGTCAACAGTACCAGAAACTATTAAATAATACACTAACCTGAGCCTCATATTTGTCATCTAGTAGTATGTTAGAAGATTTAATGTCCCTGTGAATAATGCGGGGATGACAATCTTCATGAAGATAGGCTAAACCTCGAGCAGCTCCAACTGCGACGCGCATTCTCATTTCCCAGTTCATAATTGGTCTCCCATTCCCTAAATTTGACACAAATGGAATATTAATGAAAGGCAAGGACAGGAGTAATAGACCTGAAAAACAGTTATTCAAAAATTCACAGTAATAGAAAGATTATGCAAGGATTTAAGCCCGAACTTTCGGATTATTTATACAACAGCTAGCTTATAGACGAAGCAAAAATCTTACCATAGAGATTCACGTCTAGAGTACCGTTGGGCACGAAGTCATAGACCAACAACCTCTGCTTATCGGCAATACAGTAGCCAACAAGGGAAACCAGATGACGGTGATGAACCCTGCTGATGATCTCAACCTCGGCCCGGAACTCTTTATCCCCTTGACCACCACCAAGAGTGAGCTGCTTCACAGCAACGACCTTCCCATTCGGCAATTCACCCTTGTAGACACGACCAAACCCGCCCTCTCCCAAAATATTCTCAATGGCAAAGCCATTCGTTGCGGCATGTAGCTCGTCGTACGTAAACCATGACCTCGAATTCCCTACGCTTGATGTGCCATCAGGAGGCAAGGGTACGCTCCCACCGTGAGATCCAGGAGGCAACCTACCATTACCACCTGCTGCATAACCACCTGCTGCATAACCTTTGGGATCATCCATTCCGCCAACTTCATAAGCTGCAGCGGTTGCAGCTCCACCGCCGCCACCGCCGCCAGCAGCCGTATAAGGAAGAGAGTCTTTCTTGTATTTGCGTTTTCTGCAGAACGCAATGAGAGCAAATAAGAAAAACAAGGCAAGAATGCCACCCCCTGCTGCAATTCCAACTACCGCTCCTGTGGATAGTGAACTTGAACCCGAACTCGATGGCGGTGTGCCACCAGCAGAGGGCGTCGACGGGGGGGACAGCACAGCAGGGGGAGGACCTCTAACTGCAGAAGGAGGACTTAGGCCGGGAGGCGAAGGATTTGTTCCTGTTGGAGGAGGTGGAGCCGGAGGAGAATCAGTTGGTGGGGTTGGGGCAGGTGGAGAATTTGTTGGTGTGGGTGGAGGTGGAGCCACTGCCGTAGGGGGAGGAACATCTGGAGTAACTGGAACTGGAGGAGTTGCCGCTGGAGGGGTAGGGTCTGGTGGAGGAGGTACCACAGCAGGAGGAATGGCAGGGGGAGGGGAAATTACAGGCGCTGGAGGAGGAGGAGGAAGTTCGACAGGAGGTGGTGCAATAACGGGTGGAGGAACAATTGCAGGAGGAGGGGAAACTACAGGTGGAGTCGCTGCAACGGGTGGAACCACAGCAACCGGAGGAGTAGTAGAATTGACCGGAGGGGTAATCCCTCCGGTAGGGGCAGGGGCCGACATGTTGTTGCTTCTACAATGCTACAGTTGTGTACTAATTTAGAGCCGCAGAATGCCGTCTTTCATGTTCGTAATCTCCTTCCGATGCACACGCGTACCACATCGATGAAGTCTGCATGTGGATGGCAGAGGATTTGGTCAGAAATATTCCCAATGCCAAAACTGTTAAGCGCGGGAACACAAAAACATCAATCCGTGCTATCAACCCAGGGGTGAGAAATACTGGCAACAGCATATGCGACTTGTAGCTCAGAAAACAGGGCTAATTCAAGAGAAGAGAATGAACAAGCCTCTCGGCTATCAGCATGACAGAGCCAAAGCTTGTGCACACCCATGTTAGCTGAATGTATATAATGAAGACAGTCAACTTCAAGAACATGCACACCGTCTCAGACATATTTCAGTTTTGATTAAGTATCTAACCATCAAACACTTCAAACAAAGTGCTCTCTCAGCTCAACGCCGGACTATTATATTATAATTCAAATACAAAGCCATCTTGGTACTGCACCAAGTGTCACTGATTTCTAACCAATTTCCACGCCCTGTTGTTCAGTATCATTTGGTTGTTCAAAAGGTACAGAAGCACTCACAGGACTCAAAACACGCAGTCCTATGTGTCGATCAAAGCCGTAACAATCGCCGTTTGATTTAAGTAGAAACTATACTTGTATACACTTCAGCATCCGAAAATAAACCTGCAAGAAGTGCAAAGTATACTCAGGGCTCGCAGCCTAAACTCTAATATTTGCTCTTCGGCAAGGTAACGACTTATTCTAGGTGAGCAAAAACTGCGCGAAACTACATCCAAACCCCTCTTCGACAACTGCGAAGCTTCGCATGATTAGTGACAGGCCAGCCTAAGCGCAATAACCAATACATCTCTTCCATCACCATCACCATCTGCAGCCTCGAAACACAAAACGCCATCTCAAGCTTCTCCATATCTTCAACACGGATCCAACCATCATACGACTATAACCCAACTCCAACAGATTCACCTTCGACTGTGACTTCCTCCTTGCAGCAACTAATGAACCCCAGACATTCCACCCAGGTATCCCATTTACAACCAAACTCAACTGCAACACAAACTACACATGAAGAGAACCAAAAACACTTTTTGCATTAAGAAACACACCTTCCGCGTTTGCCTTAAACTCCCTTCTCATACGAAAATCAAAGCCGTTGCACTGTTACGCCAAACACCCAATACTCCACCAGATCGTAACCCTACACTAACTATGAATTTGCACCTAAATGTCAGGCTCTAAACCGCGGGAGTGACAAGTGAAAGCAACGAAAAATCCATGCAAGCTGGAATCCGCGTCCAACTCAGAAATCTTCTGCTGCAGAAGGAAACAAAAACCAACACCACACTCATGCTACATTGCAAAAATCTCTATGATCACTGACGAAGCTCCAGCCCTCTCGTTCTCTCTCTCTCTCGCCCTTCTCGCTCGCTCGCCCCGCTGTACCCCCCCTTCTCTCTCTTGGCACCTCTGGAGAGAGAGTTGCTTGCCGGCGGCATCAGCTCCGCATTCCCAGTAGCGCCTCTTTCTACATCACGTTTCGCTGAGCAGTTCCATATTATCTTCAATAAACTACGGATTTAAATTTAATCGAGACTAAAATTAGGGGTAGCGTCTGGTAGAGTACTAGACTTGTGTACAATTTACGACTCGTGCCTACATTGGAAGAGACCAGACCAAAGTTGGCAGGCGGCCAACTAAGAAACCAACGACCGCCAGTCGAAACGCGCAACATGGGAAATCAAGCCAAGATGCCTTTGCCTCCAGCATTTGCTTCTAACGGTCATTCTCGTGCGTTTCACTCCGGACTAACAAATCTTCTATTCGCGGTCAAATCTCCGCTCAAATATTACAACACGAAAATAGCTAACTTAATCGCGCGTGAGACTCGGTGGCATGATATCTATAACTCTGTGGCCATCCGCTGGTTGGGTGGATGGACGAGGCGGTGGGCAAGTGGGGGGTGGACATGTCCAGATCGGCCCTCTTTTCTTCTTCCAAAATATAATGCGTGGAATTCGACACAATCTGGTGGCGTAGGTTGCGTCAACTTTTGTAGGGTGTTGCCAGCACTTGCACCTCTGTGCGGTGCTGCTCCTCAAATGAGGCTTGGACTATTTGGCCCTCACCGTGCGCTGGTTAAGCCGCATGATTTGTCGTCTCTGCCAGCGTTGAATTTCCAATTATTGCACCCTCACTTCTTCTCGTCACCAATCTGCACACTCCTGTCAACAACCTCCAGGTACCATGTCACGAGTTTTCGGCGTGGCTTCTCTCTCTCTCACTTCTGACCCAGTGTTCGAACATGGCTATGCGCTCCAGTCTTCGGCGTTGCAACGCCGAAACAGCAGCACTTCGCATGGCTGTTGCTTAGAAAATATCCTCTTCACCCCTCCTCTCGGTTTCTCACAGCTTTCCTGATCGACCACAACCAGCATCTCTTCTCCGCATTTGGAATCCGCAATCTTCCGATGCGATAGTCGAGGATATCCATGCAGGTCTCGCACCGATCTCAACCCACAATCTTTCTACAGCAATGAAATCAACACAAGAGGAATCAGTGCATCGACAACATTAGTAGAATCAGCACTTGGACAATGGAGAGTGAACTCTCTCAAGAGTTTAGGGGAACATGTAATTAATTAAAAAATGAATTAATCAACTGAGTGACTGCCCACGTCGAAGGAATGTCAAAGGGGGAGCTGTGAAATTTGCATGATTTTGTCTTCATGACAATGGCCTTTGGAATTGTGGGATTTTTTTTTTTTTTTTTTTTTTTGTTACTGTTTTGATCACTGTCTGGGAAGTGCTTTTGGAATGAGTGGTCGTTGAAAAGCATGGAATCTGTGTAACTGTGGTTAATTAGATACTTGTGGTGGTGTTTTCATTTTTTTATTATTTTATTTCTTTTAAGTTTTTAATTGTTAAGGGTAGACTTATTTGAAGGGTAGAGAAGGGAGATTATAGTAGATTAGTGTCAATAATTCTAAACCCCGTTTTTAGGGATAAAATCTAAAGCATCTTACTAGATATTTACTTATATATTAATCTTAGTTAGAATCGTTTTGTTGTAAATTTAGGGTTGGAAATTATTAATGCACTACAAGGAATTGTGATGTTTCATATAATTTACATTATACGCCTAGGTCTTATAATATCTTTTGTCATATATATATATATATATATATATATATATATATATATATATATATTATCTAATCCATTAAGAAATATGGAATTAAATTTTGGTTTTTTTATGAGTTTTTTGGTGTCTTTCAAAATAAATATACTATATTTTTCCAATTTCTCATTTATCTTTGGTGTGTCCTTTTTTATTCTATATTTATTTTTTAAATGTTATAGTATTTTATTTTGTTTTTGTGTCTAAATTGTCTACAAACAAATTCCTGTAGATATTGTCTATACTTGAGTATAATACTCAACATGTAGGAGTGATTTGATAAATATTGTTTTTTTATTTGAAAAGACATACCAACGTCTTCATTTTTTGAAACATGTTACAAGTAAATTTATGAGGGATGTGATCCAATTTTATATGTAATAGATTTGTATGCTCTTCCAAAACGTGTTTAAAACTAAATTATAGACAAAAAGATGTGCACATGTAATAGTTTAACAGGACCTTTTTCTTCTATTTTTTCTCTCCATATATTATTTACAATTCTTAGGTGCCAAAGTATCAAATTTAGTATAGTTTACTTCTTAGGCTGAGAATAGTTTTTGTCATTTGAATATATAATTGGGATCAAGTATTCCTTCTTATTTGGTTGATATCAAATATGATTTTTTATCCATTATAGTAAAATAAGACATTATAGATGAAATTGAAGACCAATAATATGAATTGGAGCCAAATTAAATATTAAAAATTAATCCATAGAAGAATTTAATATCCATCAATTTTTTCATTTTATTTCATCCTTGATGATGCTTGTAATTCTTGTAATATTAGCAAATCATTTTATTATGTATTTCAGAGTTAAAATGCTACCTTTTTTTAAATAGCTATTGACTCATTCAAAGGGATCTTTATATCGTCTTATAACTTTAGATTGACAATAATGTGTACTTGAAGTCTTTTGTTTTGAAGCATGTTCATGGAAGGTTCAATCAACTTGAGAACAATATGTAGACCTATCTAGCCTTTGCATCTTGGAAATAGAATGTCATTTTAGAGTAGCTTTATTTAAACATTTCAAATTGTATCTATTCTTAAATTATATGGTTTTCGTTCTTAGAAAGTTAAATCAAATTCTTCAAATATTCCAGTTGCATATATATATATATATATATATAAATGAAAACATCATAATTTTTTTTTGTAATTTGTTTTGTAAGGTTTAATTGTACTGTATGAAGAAAAAATAAGTGTATAATATAATACAAGATATTCCATTAAAAGACTTGTTGCAAAAATTATTTCTAACTCAAAATTCTTTTTAATATAATACATTTATCTTTTTAGTCAATAATGTTCTTATTTTCAACCATTATTTTGACCATATGCTTTATTTTTGGTTAGCTATGAGTATTTAGAAGAATTCAAGTCACCTTTTGTCTTTGTTTATTGATTTTAATTGTAGATATTTGTGTCTAATAGATTTTAGAATGTTGATCTATCTTACTCTTGTAGTAATTTAATCAAGTATATTTTTATCAAATTACATTTTTTGTTAGTATGAGTTTTTTTTAATTTAATATCCATGGTATTATTTATTTTACTGATTTTCTTGTTTATATATGCATGTGACCATTTTTTAATTTATGTTAATAATATATAGTAATAAATAAGAATAAAAATATCACTACACTTTTGTTAATATTTTATACTAATTTCTAAATAATAGAGGTTTTTGTAGATTTAATTTTAGATAAGTATCATATTAAAATTATGCAATGTACAAATAAAAAAATATTAAAGTTAAAAAAGATTGAATTCTAAAATATCCAATTAAAAATTTTAATAGATAATATGTTTACTTAAATATATAGTAAAGAACCTAAAGAATCTATATCATCTTGATCTTATTAACAATCTTTAAATAGCTTTGAATGTGCTTTGTCAATGTGATTTTTACATCTTGGTACATGAATACAAATTTGTTAATCTCACAATTTTCAAATATCTTTGATTGTTCTTCACGCAATGAACACTGATGTCCAATGAAGGCTAAAAAAAAATAAAAATAAAAAAAAATCAAAATCAAAATAAAATAAACTCCTCACACAATGCATTTCAAATAATAACAATAATCACAATAATCAATAATAGAAATATAAAAACACACGCACATACATGACAATCTGTACACATATAACAGTATTGTGGTGACTGAACCTCATCATGCCCTATAATTCATTGCAAATTAACATCAAACAACTGTTTTCTGTGACCAAACTAACAAACAAATACACACACACACATTCTAAGTATCAAAAACAATAAAGAGTTTAATGTGAACATGGCACTTATGTCACAACAGTCATGTTCAAAAAAGTCTCGTATCATTGATATGAATGTGGAAGTGGAAGTTTCAAGATTTTTAGGGTAATCTTTGAGGGTAAATTAGATTTTTAGGGTTTAGGGTTTACTTGGCAAGGTCAATGGCCGTGAAAGATTTTTTCCATTCTCTTCCTTCTTTTCAGGCCTTTGATTCGACTTGTTTTGTGTGACAATCCCATTGCAATGTATGCTCATAAAAATAGTAGAATGGCGAATATTAAATAATAGTCAATACATGAAGTAGACTAGATGGTGGGGAAATAAATACTACAAGTTTTTGGATTGATTGGTGGAGTAGAAGTTGAATGATTGGGTAGTCAAGATTTTATTTTATTATAGTAATAGCAGCTTTTTGAGTCCCATGCTGTGGAGCTGGAATGAGTGGATAAACAAACATCACGTTGTAAAAATAGCAACAAAAAAGCACAAACATGATCTTGCTTTTAACCACACACAAAAAATCCACAAGCCACAGCTATTAAAAGCAAATTCTGTTATGGGTTTTGTTAGCATTAGATCCCACTTTTGTATTTTTCTGCATCATTTTGTAACTATTTCATTTGAGCTTAATATCTTGGTTTCAGAGGGCAGAAAATTATTGGTATCCGCAGTGCCCGTCTAACAATTATTGTCCCAATACTCGATAGAATTTTATTGTCATCACTGTTAAATAATATACCAATTAAACTACCGGAAAAATACGAAATTTCCATAAAATAAAAAAGAGCACCCAGCAACAAAATTAAAAAAAAGTGACAATGGTGGGTACAGAACCAATGCAAAATAGCACATCCCCTCATTAAAAATCAGTATTGCTCTGAAAAAGCTTATGCTCCTCTGACATTTTCATGCCCCAACCCCAATTTTTTAACAACCAATGGACTTGTTGAGAAAGGTCAAGGGGCTTGAAAATGAAAGCAACAAAGTTAAGGGAGGGTCCTACCCACCAATTCCATCAATTCCAAACCCTAAAGGTTGATTTTTTATTTTTTTTTTAATTTTTTTTTTGACCTTTGTGTGGAGTAATCTCATGCTCTCCACCATAAGTTGGATCCATGTTCAATTTTTGTGATACTGATTAGCGCACCCATCTCTTGTTTTTCTTCTACATATAAATCCAAAATACATGTTTGTTTTAAAATGTTATGTGTGTCCAACACATGGTGACAACTAACACAAGTCCGTACTTTGTGGGCTGTGCATGTATGTTTAAATGGTTGATTTAAACTGAAGCAGAATAAGAGTTGAATTTTGTTTCACATGAATTCTATCCTCATTGCTTTATTATCAGTATATATATATATATATATATATATTATTACAAAGTGTGGATACAATAGTCTGAAATGATGAGCTGCACAATGATGCATTGTACAGTAATTTAATACATTCTGTATGAATTATGTACATATGTATGTATATATGTATGTATGTATATGTATTAAATCTTTGGTTTTTACATCTAATATAGAATATGTTTTGGGAACATTTGGACCATCAAGTTAATTTTAGCATGTTTATTCAACATTCACAAATTATTATTGAGTACATATATATATATATATATATATATAATATTTTTTCCCCTTGACGCTCTTCAAATTTAAAAAACTGTTAAATAAATAAAAACACACTCATACTCATATTCATACTTGTTTTTATTCTTATTTAAAGATTAAAAGGGAAAAGTCTATCCTAATTGTTTCAAAAAAAGAATCCCAGTTGCAAGAAAGTTAATGCAACACTGATTTTGTTACTTTTCATTTTGCAAGCAATCAAAATTTTACTTCAAATTTATGATATTTACAGCAGTAATAAGCTTTTTTTCATACAAACGTGATCAAATATTTTTGTATGCATCTTGAGAGCCAAATATATACAAATAACACTTTGTTGTCTAGTGGATGCCCAAACATTGAGCATTTGTTATCTATCTGTCTTTTGAGTGTGTGTCGTATATTTATAAGGGAATATGGTTTTGTATTATGTTATTCCCATTAATATTACTGCAAGTTTTATACATTCCATAGTCTTAAAATCTTTCAAATTTGGTTAGATTCATAAGAAGATGTCATTGAATAAATATACAATTCTAAGTAACAATCATACATTCAGTGCTTACTGTCTTCAGCCAATTCTTTTGTACTAGCAACAAAGAAAAAATAATTTTTACGCATTACATATATTTCAACAAACTAATTCAATTGATTTATTTTTCAAGAGCTTTCTAAGCATTTAACACGATATTAAGGTATTTTTGAGGCAAAAAGTTCAATTTAAAGCAGAGAATTGTACTCATGGTTTCACTATATCATTGGAAATTGATAAAAGATGCATGTGTTTATTGATATCAATATAAATTGTATTGAGATTTTAGGGAAGACTTTTTTAATGAAATGTTAATACAACTAATTGAAAGAATTTATTCATTAATGGAACTTTCAGTTAAACAACTTTTTGTATTATAAAGAAAAAAGTTGGGTTGCTACACATGTGTATTAACAATTAGAATTGTAAAAAAATCATCAACTTCAATTATTATGTAATATCAGCTATTTAAAGTAATTAGATTAACTTCAAATAAAAAGAAAATAAAGGAAAAGAAAACTGGTTTGCTTTGCTTGCCTTTAAAGGTGCTTATGTAGTTTTTCAATTTGAAAGAAGAAAAAGTGCATATATGACATACATTCAAACGAAATGTAATCAATTTGAACATAGTACAATATAATATCATTTAGTGTTTAATTTTGATTTTAATTTTTATAATTCAAAAAAATAATCTTAATTTATATGTTTAGCATATTACATAGTTGTTTAAAGTTGTAAATAAACATTTGCAGATAATCATGCAGTAAATAAATAAATAAAAATAAATTATATGCAATGATTGCATATCATCAAAAATAACATCAATTAGAAATTTAATGGGGATGGGAAGATGAAACATGTCCCACACAAACAATTTGTACTATATATATATATATATATAAGAACTATAATCACATTCAGAATTCTTAATTATTATAATTATTATCTTTAAAACCTAAACAAAGAAAATTTAAAGGTTATTGTATCACCATCATGTCTTGACGATAAAAATGAATAAAATAAAAGAAAGTCAGATAGGATTTTAAAGTATATATACACATTTGTACTATCATGTGTGTGGGTATATTTAATGTATTGTATTAAGAAAGAAAAAAATGTCCCTATTTTTATAAAGTATATACCACTATCCTTGTAGAGATTGGTGGTTGTTATCCATTGAACTATGTCCTTGATTTATTTATTTATATATATATTAGAAGCGTTTACATAACTTCTCTAATATAATTGATTTATGTTCAAGTTTTTATCAATTCAATGTTGAATCCATACACTTGTCATTAAGCTTGTTACTTCTAGGACTAGGCCACCTCTCTTTTATATAAATTAACATTCACTTTTTGGAATTGATATTTTTGGAATTTATTCACTTTGCAATCAACTATTTTTGCTAAAACACTTTCTTCTAGGTTAAAATGTTTTTGTAAGATTTGGTCATTATTAGAAGGACCTTGTCTAAAAATTGTTAGGATTCACTTGCATTAGAAGCCTTGTTTGAAAAGATCTTATCAAATATAGACAGATTTGTTGGAAATTTATCAAATAGAAATGAGCAAAACACTTGCAACATAAACCTTTCTTTCTCAAGAGATAGGATAACTCATGGATGGCACATCACATTCTTGGCTCTAGAAAAAATTAAATGTTTAAATAAAACTCTAGAATATTATAAAGCAATGTGATCATATACAAAAGTGTAAACAAACTTGTTTTAATAATTGTTATATGTTTTTGGTGTTCTTAGCTCTGCCTCAAAGTATACATAATTAAATAGTTAATTTTACTTTTTCCGCACCGTTAATGAATTGGGTATACCCATCTTTGTGTTAAAAAAAAATCAAATAATTTTCAAATATTATTATTTTAAATAAATTATATAATTTTGATATATCCTAAAGAAGTTTATAAAAATATTTGGTTAAAATTTGTGATATGTTAGTTTTGAATTATATAGATGCAATAATTATTTATAATTATGTTTGTAAATATAATATATGAGAATTACATACATATAAATATATTTATATATTTATATTTAAATTTTTTAACTCATTACTCCTCTTTATTTATTCTTTATGTTTGTAAATATAATATATGAGAATAAAAAAATCTTTATATCAAGAAAACAAATTATTTGTGAAATGTATGTATGTATGTATGTATGTACATTGCAAAATTTGACATCTCAATTGTCATGTATTAAAATAAAAATATTATTTTTTATTAACAAGAGAAAGTATAATTAGAATCTACATTGATCAGAATAAAATCTATTAGTGTTGGACCACATTGGTCTTTGCATTTTATTTATTTATTTTAAATGGTTGTCAAGTTTTGATTTTGATAATATGATATAGTGAGAACTGCAGTTTATGTTGCAACTAATACTAAAAGCATAATTTGACCTTCAACATAAGAAATTGACATTAATGAAAAATTGAAGCTTTTCAAGTGGTTAATTTTTAAATGTTTCTTTGTGCTCTCACATCATTTCACTGTAAAAAAGTTAAGCTATTCTCCAACTAACTCTACAGTCTGCAAACCATCTATTTGTAGTTTTCATCATGTTTCTACCACACTTGCACCACTACACAGTCAACCAATTCAGCACAACACATAACACATGCACCTCAATCTTTCACATCAACTAACCTTTCCATTCAAAACCCTAAATAATCTTACAGAGGCAAATGCAACTCATCCTTGTTGGGCATTGCAACTCCTAGCCAGCAAAAACTTGTGAATACTGTAGCCCACATCACCATATACACAAGTTCAGGCAAAATCCCATGAGCACCCACAAGTGAATGCATAGTGCAATCAATCCAGTAGAAAAAAAAACACAAAAATCCTATCCTACATGTGTACAAGTATGTACATACATGTCTGTACAGTAGCAAACAAAACAAGCACATAAATGCAGCGATTTTCACTCATTTATTCATTTCATTTCATGTATATTGAAGGTCACGAAGTCGTTGATGAAGCCGACATGCAAACCATAAGCTGCAGGGAGACGTTTCGGCCCACAGTGAGAAAGAGGCCCGCACTGAGGCGGTAACTGTTGATCTGGCGATCTGAGCATGATTCCGATAGACGTGCAGGAAAAAAAACGAAGAAAAACGCAGAATAAAAAACGCATTGAGAAACACAAAGAAGAAGGTTGCAGGCACAGGCACAGGCACAGGCTCATGTGTAGGGCCAGGCAGTGAAGATAGTGGTGGTACTGGGATGTGCGACATTTACTGCTGGGTCCCTGCAACAACAGTGTGGACAAAGCACAGAGACGGGCCAGAGGACAACTGGGTCAGGAGGAGCTCGGAGCCTGATGGTGATCGTGATTCCTCCTCCAGGACAGCAAGGTCGCTCGGGGAATGATAGAATCAGCCTTGCGCTCGCTGCCCATCGTTTTCTGGTCACAGAACTCCAGCCGGCAGGTTTGGTTGGCTTTCGAGCAACCTTTCATCCATAGGGAGCACGAACCGATCCAGCACTGAACAGCTCAACGCAGATTCTTGGGGATACTTCATTCCTTTGCCTTGCCTCTGGACCGAGGACAGTGTACCAAGGAGTAAATGGACCTTGCGTGTGTGTGTGTGTATTAGTGTTAGTTTGAGCAGGTTTGATCGGTTTAAGCCCTGGTGGCGGATCCGTCAAGGGTTAGCCTGTTGTTGCTCTGATTGTCGATTAGCTTAAGAAGAGGAGATAATCGATTGGTAATCACCGCAGGAATCGATAAGATCTGATGTTCAAAATTCCTGAACACCGCGAGGTGTGATATTTGTAATCGTGATAGGAGTTGTTTAAAAGCAGGTTGACCTTTTGTTTCGTAATAACTGAATAGAGCACGTCACATTGAACATGGAGAGCATACTTTTCACAAATAACGTTTTTTTGGTATTATTTATTTCTCGAGTGATCAGGTTAATCCTGTATTCTCCAGCGTTCCCTATCAAGTGGAAGCATCACCATCAATGAAGGACTGGAATTTGACCCCACAATTCGATCATGCAGCTCTAACGAAGCTACGTATGAGAATCACACTCGCCTTCATTGACGGTAGTTGTGTGTCAAAAGAGAGGTAATCAACTTGTCCTCAGCTCAAAAGACAAAACAGATGACATGTTGATAATGACCATTTTTTAGTTACGAAACAACACATGGAAATTTCATGTCGAAGTAATTTTTACAGGTTTTGCAAATCAACTGACCGACTCTCAGAAGTTTCTTCACAAAATTTCTATGTTTGTAATGCACCATCATGTTGATGATTGTATTGCAATCATATAGATTACTGTGAGGTAACCCGTGTGGTTTACTCATTCTCAACCACTGAAATCATCAAATATCTCTCTTCTTGGTTCTGGGTCCACATGCAGCGATCCTGAGCCAACTGCGCAACGTTGGACAAAGCCCATGAATGTTAATCTTCCTGATAAGTATTTTTATCAACGGTAATCCTCATGTGACCTTTGTGGATGTAAAGCTGTGAGTAAAGGCCTTGATCCTATGTTCAATAATTTATTACATACTAGGCACCACATTACTTACAGATTTCAAAATATTGCTGCTCAATCCTAAACCCTTAACTCCAAGTGTCTGATAATGCACAAACAAAAGATCTCTGTTTCCATAATGAAATTAAATGTCAAATTGAGCTCCAATCTACATGCAAGAACATGAGCAACCTGGAACTTGCCTATCCTTCTTTCGCCAGCTAAGTGGTCGCAGCATTACCAATTGCAGAGTTTCAAAACCTTTTGTATTGATTGAATCAATCAGGGTTGCTTCTAGACACTTAAAGTGACGGTCTCCTGCGATCTGAGAGTGAGGCCAAATATAGAAGCAAGAAAATTCATCCAAGCTTGCTCGGAGCCACACGTGGAATACGAAGTACAGCATTTCCTATGATAGTGCTTGAAATAAGCAAATAATGCTTGAAAAGGGTCCCAAACCATGCCTGCAATCAGCTTCAGTACCACATACTTGTAAGAGAATAAAAGACATGTCAGAATTGAACATAGAAAATTGGAAACTTACAATTTCGTTCCATTATATGCCAACAAACAGACAAGACTCATTCCTTACTGATCGGAACATAAAAAGCTGGGTTGAAAAAGTAGTTAAGCTCTGAAGGTGAGATGGATTTTGTCTGAAGAAACACAGTGAAATGCAACTTACAACTCGTCTTTCAAGAGGACAACACAATGTTTATTAACAGCTACAAACCCAGCACTAGAGATGAGGTATACATGAAAACAGGTCCTCCGAGCTATCGTAGATGAGGCCGTTGGCCGCCGACCCATTCTTTGACGTTGTTTGTTGCATTTAGTCAATGCTCTCCATCAACATTCAGAACCATCAATACGGACCCTTTCATGGAGCGACAAGTTCCCACAGCACGAAATGATAGATAAGTTATATTTTACTATCTGTAAAAGAGATAAGGGCTAGGAGCAAAAACACATCATGATTCTCAATAGATCATTCAATGCTGCTTTTACTAACTGACCCAGGTGCCTGGCTCTTATTTAAAGCTCTTAAATGATGTCTCAGTGCTCAAGAATCGAGAACATCGCCATCTTCATATATCCAAGCAAACTACACAACCCCCAGTCTTTAAAATTTCAAACAGATGGACCCTGAACCCGCCTGTTGTACCTTAACTGAATGCTCTATTTACCTTCACCAGCAAGGCAGCACGAGGAGGCCAGATGTAAAGTACTGGACAATCACTGCAACACAATTGCCAACATAATGCTCATGAGTAACAAATTGCAGCTCTGGTAAGCGAAAAGAAAAAAGAAACAGTTCTTATTGCACACTACTCACAAAATCTTCTAATTCAACATTACGAGGTAACATAAACTTGAGCATAACGAAATAACTTGGAATCTTCAAGTGGAGTGAGGAAGATTCACACGTCATGGATGCAGTTGCGTGTCTCTTCTATAGCTGCAGAGCATGGAACCACTATCTTCACCAATCCTGCCTGAGAAGGGATCTTCTGATCAGCCATAAAAATACCCTCACGACCACTTCAGTTCATTTTAAATCTTAGAGTTGCTTCTTCACCCTGCAATCCATCACATAGTGTTCAAACTACCACTTGCATGAACACAAATCTCAGGAGGAAACCATCACAAGTCAATTTGAAATCGAAAAAACTAAGTGAGTCGTACAAGTAGGATGAATAGGTTCAACGGAGATTGACACGATAAGTTGTTGTCGATATAGAGTCACCTTGAACAAATAGACACGTAACCTAAAGTGACACGAATTCCTCGTCGTAAGAAACTAGTGGAGCAAGAACTGAAGCCAATTAAGCGCATCACAACATCATCAAACAAATGGTGTACTAGATCCCTGTCCTCCAGATAGAGCCAGATGGAGAGCCTCTCCCAACCATGTGGCAAATTTTGTGATTCAAACTTTGAAACAAAGTGGATACAGGAGTTCTATCGAAAATGCCCACTACATCAGCAAAATACACAAGAATCTACAGAATAAAACTTGAACGTTCATGCGTGAAGAATGGTACCCAGTTCATGAACAGTTGTTCATCACACTTATTCTGCTACTTAGAAAGGAACTCAACTTGTAAACCATCACACTGTCTTCCACTCGCGACCAAATCGCACACCGAGAATCTGAAACAGGACTTGTAAAACATCGACACACGAGTGTATTCAACCGATTTTTGGCGGTAGAAAGGCGAGCTGCGGCATTCCAAGAGCGACGTGCATTGTAGACCGGTGGACTAAGGGAATGTGAAGAGAATGCTTGGCTCTTTGTACTTAGAACTTGGAAGAGTTTTTGTACTATAGACATCATTTTCTGAAGAATTTATTGGCATGTCATTTTACTAAGGTCCTTGTATTTTTATTTCAAAAAAAAATAAACAATAAGAATAAAAAACATAATGATATTTTATATTGAATTAATTTTTATTTATGTAAGCTTTTATATACTTTATTATATATATGAGAATGATATTGACATGGCACAAATAACTTTGTACATAAAAATAATATTTTATTATTTTATTATTAATAATATGTCAAGTGTATAGAGAGATTTGGTACCATACGTCTAAGACTTAGGTTTTAGATCTTGTAAAGGGTCTTAACAGGGGATCTTAGAGATCATTGATTTCCTATTTAATTTAAGTATTGCAGTATTAAAAATACTACAAAACTCAAAGAAGGCTTATTTTTTTCAAATTGAGTCTTTAGAAGATGATTTTGAGTGTTTTGCTTCTCTTTTATACATCGATATATTTTTACAATATTCATATATGGCTTGACTTATTATGTTTATTATAGAGTTTTTGAACTTCTTTTAAGATTTTTTTTTACATATTATTACTTTAAAAAAGATCTTCATGCACGAGTGTAAGTGATGTTTAAACACTTAATTAAAAAAAGAAAAGAAAAAGAAGTACTTTTGAATATGTTTTTGTAAAATTTGTATGCATTGATTTAGTAAAGCATAAGTTTGATTTTTGACCATAATTTTTTATCTACAAAGCCAAAAAATAAAAATAATATAGATTATGTTATATATAGTTGATTATAGATTATTCATCTATTTGAGACAAAAATACATTTACAAGAGCATATTTCATTTAATTTATTATATTTTCTTTTCTTTTCTTAACAACTTTAAATATTGATATGAAAGAACGTAGAAATAGTAAAAAAATAAAATAAAAAAAAAATTATTAAGCTTATGAATAAATAAACTAGAAAAGAAATATATATTTTATTGGTTTAGTAAAAGGCTTAAAAAATTGAATAAATAGAAAATACTTTAGTTAGAAAAAAATATGATGCTTGTATTTGAAAATTAGTTATTTTTTTGACTAAAATTGGAATGTATTTTCTTTAAAAAAATATTATCCAATTCTTGCTAAAATAACAATTGTAAGTAAATTATGAAATAGTATACAATATAATTCTATTAAATATTATGATATCATATAATTTGTATAATACAATATTTAGTTACCTATCATATCAATGGCAATAACACACAATATTATTGGTTGTACAATCATCATCATATAGATTTTTGTCATTTACAAAATTTTCCTTATTTAATATACCTAATGAATCTATAATTTTTTCTTGATCCTTATCTTGTGAGCATTAGACCATTCAAAAGTATTATCTATTGTTTTTAAATAATAATCGATTAAATGTCAATGAATCTAAAAATGATTCTCATATTAGAATCAACACCTTTAGCTTTTAAATTAGATTATTTTTATAATCATTGTTGTTCTTTTTTTCTTTGCTAAGATATTATGTTATAATACAACTATTAGGTGAAAGAAAAAAATAATGATTATATTATAGAACTTATATATATATATATATGTTAGCGAATTACCTTGAACTTTACTTAGTTAGGCTTTCATTATTGCATGTAGCTCTAATAAGTAATTTTTTATAAATTTATTAACTTTTGAAAAGTAAAAAGTATCAAATTATAGATAATAAGTATAATTAGTATAAAAGGTGATTTTTGAATAAAAAAATATACTATGTTATTACATGCAAATTTTGCAAATAAAAAAAGAGTTGTTCAATCATCTTAATAGTAGTTGATAATATATTTCAAATACTACTCCAAAACTTGATTTATGAGTTTTGCTTGCCCATCAATTTGAAGATGAAAGACTTAAGATAGTTTTATATTTATCTTCAATATTTCAAAAAGAAAATTTTAAAACATAGATATAAATTGGATTCTTTTATCTAATAAGGTATTCTTTAGTAATTTATAATAAAAATAAATATTTTAAAAAGTAATTTTTTTTTTTTCACTTATAATGATTTTTTTTTGTACTACAAAATATACCATCTTACTAAAATAATCCACTATTACAAATATAGAGCCATAAGAATTTAAGATTAGATGATCAATGATAAAATCTATAGAACTCATAACCATAGTTTTTCTAGTATATGTCATAGTTGGAGAAGTCAATAATAGTTGGAGAAGTTAATAAGATTGATGATGAGGAATTTTTTATTTTAAATAAATATCACATGATTGTACAAAATCCTTAATTGCCTTTCACATTTGCGGCCACTAAAAAACTTTTGAAATTAATTTTAATATTTTATTGTATCTAAAAGATCCTAAAATTAAAAAAATTATGAAGAACTTAAAGAGCATGTAATTTAATATTACATTTTGAAATAGATTGACATCTTTTTGAAATAAAAAAGATTGTTTGTAAATTAAAATTTGTAGGTATTATAAAATTTTAAAGAACTATTTTTAATATCATGCACATGAAGATCTGATATATTTTATTGAAATTAATCAAATAATACTAAATTAATAATTAACGTTGATTTCATTGCTTAAAAGTGAAACTACTCTAACTTCAAAAGAATTATTTGTTGTTGATTAAAAATTGTATTTTATTTTTTTGGTTGAAGATAAGAACATGTAAAAAATATTTTTGATAAATTGTATTGTTTTTATAGTTAATAAATAAAATTAAATATAAATCTTGATGAAAACATGTTTTAACAATCTTGGTAATAATTAAATATGTGTATTAACATAAAATACTTAAGATTCTTGTCAATTGTATAAATAATCATTTAATTAGAAGTGCTTTTTAAATAATAGCCTTATTCTTAAAATGAATCTATCATTACAAAAAGTTCTTTATTGTCAATCTTAAAATTAATCTTAATTGCAAAAATATTTTTTGAATGAAAAGCTATAGAATGAATTTTATTATCTACTCCTATTTATAATAAAATGGCACTCAAGATAAAGTCTAATGTATTTGTTTCTATAAAAATTGCATTAAAAATATCAACACAATATAAAATTGGTGTTGCAATAAAAATTATCTTTAAAACTTTAAATATTGCTTTGGCTTCTTTATTTTTATTATTATTATTATTATTTTGAAATTTATTTATGTAAGTAAAGTTGCTCTTTGAAAATTATTTTTTTATAAAGATTCAATAATAATTGAAAAAATCAAAAAACATTGAAGATATCTTATTGTTCTTGAAATCTTCTAATCCATAATAATTTATATTTTTTTGGAATCAATTATAAGGCCATTATTTAAAATGATATATTCTAAGAAATTAACTTGAGTTATATGATTTTTTTCCATCTTAATATATAGCCTTACATCTCCAAATATTTGTAATACACAACAAATATAAAAGTTCATATAATCCTCTACTTTTAGAATAGATTAAAATATCATCTAGATAATAGGTAACAAAATTATCTAAATATTTACATAAAATATCATTTATTAGATATTGAAAAGAATTTGGAGTATTTATGAATCCAAAAGCCATAATATTATAGTTAAAATACTCATATCTAATTCAAAATATATCATTATATTCATCCTTTATTTTATATATATGAAGTTATATATTTCTTATACATCTATTTTAATATAAATCTTTTTTTGATTCAATTAATCAAAAATTCTTGATATCAAAGATAATAAATACCTATTCTTTGTAATTTTTTTGATAAGTCACATATAATTCATGCTCATCTATAGAGATCTATCTTATTTCTTCATAAATAAGATAAGGTCTTATGTTCAAGATTTCAAATGGTGCATGAGGTTTTTGACCAAATTCTCATTAATGTAAACTTTGAATAAGCCAACTTTTTTTTTAATAAGCTTCAAATTAGTTTAAATGGTGGTTGAGGTCTTTTTTGAAGATTAATCAATGAATCATAAGATTTTTTTTTAAATAATATTTATATTTTTTTTCTAAAAAATATCTTGATAATAATTATATTACCTTAAAATATTTCTTGAAGTCTTTCGACCATTAAAAATAGATGCGGCATAAATAAAAAATGATTTCATGCATACTACAAAACCATCTATAATTTTGAAATGTTCAAACTTAATTTTCTTTACTAAAAATATTTTATGACTTTTAAAAAATTCTTCATCTAAAAAACTAACTAAGGCTCTTGAATCTAGTGGAACAAAGGCTTTGTGGTTTTAAGATCTTAAATAAATATCTATTATAAAATATGGTGAGAATTTTAAAGAGCAAATATAACCTTCACTAAGTGTTGCATGAGATTCTAGCCACTTGGTCCTTGTTGTAAGTAAAAAAAATTATTTTTTAAGACATTGTCTTCATTAAAAATCATACTTCTGATTTTGTAATTGTGTTCCTTCTTTGATCAATATTGATTAGTGTGTTTAGATTCTCTATAGTATAAATACAATCTTTCTTGATGATGTCAAGTATTTTCTTGCCGACCAAGTTATTTCAAATGTATTGCAATTTACGAAGAATTTTCTCCTTATTTGAAAACTTAGGAATTATTTTTATAACTTGATTTATTCTTCTCTAATCAAGTCTTTATTTTTAGTATCTTTCAAAGAATTAATTATTGCATGCAATGGCATGAGCAATAAATTATTTTAATAAAATTATTCTAGATATTTTTAATAATAAAACTTTGATATTATCTTTTAGTCAATATCAAAATTGGTTGATAATGGCTATATTATTCCGATCCACATTACAAATAAGGCTTTGAAATTTGGCAACATAAATGATAGTTGATCGTAATATATATTATAAAAAACATATTTATTTTTAGTTTTTATTTGTAATCAAATTTTCTAATTATGGCCATATATACTTTCAAAAATAAATTTAAATTATACATGAATTATGATTTTTTTTAATATTGAAGATATAAATAAAAAATAATTACTTAAAAATATGAATGCATGTATAAATCTAACTGAAGTAAATCCATCAAGGTATTGAAAAGAATGTAATCTTAAATAAAACTTGATTTTTTGTCAAAATCTTTGAAATTTTGATCTTCTTCTATCAATCTTCTACAACATACTAATCTTTGCCTCCTTAATATTGGTGGTAGGAAAGCTTTTTGAATTCACTTGTAAGATTGATTTACTTATTTCTCTCAATTGTATAAATTCTTGGCATAAATATTAGATCTCATTGTTAATTTTTTTTTATAGGTGTAAGAATAATACTTTTATGTTTGATATTAATATTTTATAATTTTTTTGTCTTGAAAGTGTTGACAAGCTCATGAAAATCTACAATAGTTACAAATTTATTTTCATTCTCACAAAGTATAGCATTTATAAATTTTTTTTCATAGATAATTTTAACAAATCAACAAGTCAAATAAGAGGACGAGAATCCCTAATTTCTAATACCAAATCAAAACTTCTAAAAAATATATATATATATATATATTATTAAAAAAATCAATATTAAATAAACAAAAAAATGTTAGTTAAAAGTGGATAGTTTGCAACTTTTAAAACACAACAAACAATATGGAAACATATAAGTCTTGTAGTTTATAGAAATATTAACTAACATTTAAAGATTAATTTAGGTTTTGCTTTGACTATGAGATTCAATTTAAGGCATTAGTGCACAACGTTGGAAGAAGTTGAATGTTGTCAAAGGATAGGATATGTTAGATTTTCTATCTAGTATGCCTTGTTCTTAGGGGTTTTTGAAATCTGCCAAGGTAAGATATTGTATGTTGTTTAGTGACATAATCTTATGGAGGGTTGAAGAAAAATGTTTTAAAACAGCAACTACATTTGATTTGATTTTGATTGTGTTAATTTTGAATTGAACACATGTCTATATCATGCTTGATGTGCACAAATGGATTTTGTAGGTTTGGTGTTTTGTAAATGGAAGAGGGAAGAAGTGTGAAGTAAAACCCATCTTAAGCCAGAAATATGAACAAAGGGGAGGGAAAAAGGAGGAAGAGACTAGGAATAAGAAACAAGAACTTAGAATAGAGACAAAATTAGTCATGAGATAGTAAAGGGAGGTGTGGCTTTACTAATTCCTTATCTATCTATCTATCTATCTATCTATATATTATGATGTTTATTTGATAACATTATTGTCAATATACGTGCATTTATAACAAAAAAAAAAAAAAAAAACAAACAAACAAACAAACAAAAATACAATTCATTCTTTTTTATATTCCAAATATTTAAAAAACTTCAATATCTTATTAGCATAAAGATATAAATAAATTTTAAAATATATATTTATGCACTTTTTAAAAATACTATTTTTTTGTGTATTGCAAAAAATCCATATGAATTCTAAAAGTAGAAGAAGCAAATGTATTTATTTATTGTTGTAATTGTGCAAAAACATCAAGATTTATTATTTTATATATTAATATTATAGTATATAAAAGTATTTGTACCAAAACCTTACAATCCAATACTTTGATATTAAATTACATACAATTGATAAGAAGTGTTGAAAGATTTTTAAAATGATGAATATTTGACAATTAATTATTTGTATTGCTTAATCATATGGTTTCTATGTAAATTCAACATAGTTGATTTTTGTAGAAGTAGTAGCATTAGTACTTAGTGTAGTTGATATTTATTTTTGTATTAATGGGTTTTCTCTCAGAAAAATGATAAAAAACAAATATTATACTAGTTGACTTTTAGGACCAAAAATTTAATGGAATTGGATTTTGAGGTCAAAAGTGATTTAGGCTAACAACACATACTTGTATATTTGCAGCTAAAACATTGATATTAAAATTTTCAATATAAAAAATGTCATGATTATTCTTTAAGTTAATACAAAAATTAGGTTTTGAAAGTTTTTATAATGACAAGAAGCATATTAAAACTTAATTAAACATACTATATAATTTTTATTCTGTATTTTTTCTATTACTATAAAAAAAATCAATATTTAAAAAATAATAAATAAAAACCAAGTATTCCAGAAAAAATAGAATAAATTAAAATTAAATTATCCATGTCAAAATAGATAGTTGCAAATATTTTAAAATGTTTATTAAAAAAAATTACAAGTCAAACTTGAGCAAGCAATTTACTTTTAACATCAGTAAGACAAAATTGATGTACTTTCGTTATTTGATATCCCTTAACTAATATTCCTAACTTACTTAAAAATACTTTTTTGAAATAGAGATTTCTAAGTTGTAAACTTATGTCTCAATAAATATTTCTTACATAACTTATAAAATTTCTATCCTTTGAGGTTATAAACTAAGCAAGGTGCATTTTTATTACCAATCAAAACATTAGGTTCCATTTAGAAAAATGTTGAGAAGTATTTGGTTATTAATCAAAACTTTTATATCATAATTACTAATTATTTTGTAAAGTTTTTTTTGAATTGATTTAAAACTTGGATTTTCATATTAAATTAACTCAATAATTTTTATATTGTCATATTCTCTCTTTTCAAATGTAAGTCCTCCAAGAAAATCCAAAGCTATTCAAATTATCCAATGTTAATTCACATTAGTCACATTCATCTGCATAGTACTTATATTTTATTATGCCAACTATTGTATGGAACCCTCTCTCAATTTCGTGGAAGGTGCTTCTGGAGAACACGGGAACACTTTGTTCGCACACGTAGGCAACTTCGAGATCCGTTGTTCTATCCAGGACCTAAAGTGAAGTACCGAGACATGGATCGTCACCTGAACAAAGGCGTGGTCAGATTAGGGTTTGCGTCGGTGGTCGGCTTATGGTCGCAACGAGCCCCCAGAAACGCTCTTTTTCGTGATCCCCCATCGTCGGAGCCACGCTTCTGCGCAGGCGAGCCGCTGTCTCTCATCATGGGTAAGCAATTTCTCGCAGCCTCTGCCCTCGTCATGGATCTCTGTGTGTATGTGGAGCTGACGCCTGACCAGATTCGGAATGAATTCTCAACCTTTAACTAGGGTTTTTGTTTTGTTGAATTTTAGGTGCGTACAAGTACATTGAGGAGCTGTGGAGGAAGAAACAGTCCGATGTGCTGCGCTTCCTGCTGCGTGTTCGCTGCTGGGAGTACAGGCAGCTGCCCGGCATTGTCCGCGTCACCCGCCCTAGCCGCCCTGACAAGGCTCGCCGTCTTGGTTACAAGGCCAAGCAGGTCAGTTTGGATTAGAGACCCTTGGTTTCAGTGTTTTTGTCTGTAATTGTTTCTGTGTGTCTACATTTATCTACATGGAACGCTGTCTTGGACATTAGGGTTTCGAATTTGACTTTGTCCTCTCGTGGATTAGTGATTAGTAGTTTGACGTGTATCGAACGTGTTCGGCAGTAGACCAGTGTGTTTTGATTATACTTTTCAGCACCCTTGTTGTTAGGGTGCCTGGATTCTATCCATATGATATGTTTAGATGTCTAGATTTTCGGATGATAATGGACCTCAACTGCAGGGATATGTGGTCTACCGTGTCCGTGTCCGCCGTGGAGGCAGGAAGAGGCCAGTTGCCAAGGGTATTGTGTATGGAAAGCCCAAGAACCAGGGTATTACGCAGCTCAAGTTCCAGCGTAATTTGAGGTCTGTTGCTGAGGAGCGCGCTGGACGCAAACTTGGTGGCCTTAGAGTCCTTAACTCTTACTGGATCAACCAGGTAAAGTAGTGACTTTTTCCGTGAGAGCTTATTGCTTGCACGCTCATGAGTTATGTCTAAAACATCATTGCTTGCAAGACAGCTGCATTTTCAAATCACAGTGTCATTAAGTCCTTTTCGTGCAAAGACCTAGATTAATCGCCTCTTGATGCTCCGGTTTTATCACAAGCCTAAGCCCACATACCTTGTCCTCTTTCAGTGTCCGTTTCTGTGACCATCTAGATGACAATCTGGTACTCGTTATCTTGAGTATTCATATGCAGACATCTTAGGCAAAATCTCATCAACATGCTTTTCTTGTGTAGGACTCCACTTACAAGTACTTCGAAATTATCTTGATAGACCCACAGCACACTGTGATCCGCAAGGATCCCCGAATCAACTGGATCGTGAACCCAGTGCACAAGCACCGTGAGTTGCGTGGTCTGACCTCAGCAGGAAAGAAGTACCGTGGTCTCCGCGGCAGGGGGCACTTGTACACCAAAGCCCGCCCTTCAATCCGCGCTACCTGGAAGCGCAACAACACCCTGTCTCTCAAGCGTTACCGATGAAGATCTTAGGGTTATTGATGATGTTCTCACTCTCATGTTGGTCAGCATCAATTTATTAATGTTATGACCCACCACAATTTTGGATTTACTTATCCTTTCATCTGCATTCGTATCTGATTGGAGGTGCAAGGAACATCAGCGTCACTTAGGTTTTGAACGACTGGGCGAGGTTGTTGTGGTGTGTTGTGTGCTGAAAATGTGAAGATATTTCTCCAAATATAAGTTGGTTTTTTATCTTTCCAGTTGTGCTCTCTAAAGGTACTGACTTCACTGGTCAAAAATATGCTAAATGTTTTGTGAAAACGATGGTTCAGGGATTTTTGTTCTGCACTTCTTCAGCTCTTCGAAGTGTCGGTATATCTTCTTACAACGAAGTTTCTCAGTGTAAACAATGGACGGTTTATAGTAATCTCAGGCCTGGATATGTTGGTTAAGGGTTTCTCTTCGTTTCGTTAAGGATCTCATTCTTCGTGTGAGTTATTTTTAACCTGGATGTGAGGAAACTTACTTTAATAGGAGGCTCAACGATCGATAGCTATGCAGGTATGCCGATTTCAAAAATCGGCTATAGGACTTATCTCCTAATCGACAGTTAGGTTGTTCTTCTAGGATAACATTTTTACGATCTAAATTCTAATTAGATTGGGAGTATAACGATACATCCCAAAAATATCCTTCGGCAGCTCTCATATTGATATCTGCCACACGCTTCCGTTACCTTTGTGTTAACTTTTCTATGAAGTGAGAAGCCTCCGAGAACTACTCCACACTTCAAGTTCTTCCATCATGAATATCAGTTAACAGATTTTCCCACAATCGCAAAGTTCATTGTCAACTAGTAAGTTATCTCTGTTAGATCACTCAAAATTACATTCGTAATTTCAATTGTACACATTCTAATGGTGGGAGGAGACGCTATACACATCTGAACCTTAACATTTCATTAGTATTCAAATCGAGATAGAGTTATGTAACAATGAATACTATTGACCTTTCAATTACTTCAGTTTAAGCAGATTGTTTAAGACATCTACCGAACGGTATATGAACACAACAAAATAAGACAATGTTGCAATGAGCATTCCGGCATTTGTTTGTCTGCAATTATTAGTATACAACATATACACTGATCATTTTTTGGTAATCTGTATCCAACATGTGTACACAGACCAAGTCATGGATTCATATAAATATAAAAATCAAAGAAAAAATGTAATGGCAATAATAGTAATAATAATAATAGTAGAAGGAGAAAGGCCCTTATAGAATTGGTGCACTATTTCAAATAAAATTAATAAATAAAACGTATACACTACTTGAAAATCATTTCCATGAATTAAAATTTCCGAAATATTTATTAGACCGAAAATTTTGCAAGGTCAGAGCCGGAATTACCACTTTAAATGAGAAAGTTTTCAATTGGTGAATTCATACGTAGTTTACATCATTAAATTATTGCCTTAAAACTAATATGCTTTAACCATTATTTTACAAGAATTGTGATATTCATTTTTCTTTTCTTTTCCTTTCTTTATATTTGTAACTCTTCAACCATCCCTCCATTAATGTGATATCAACCCTATTTTAAGTTAAAATTCCTGAACATAGAAATTCCATACAAAACCTACAAATTTTATATTTCTAGAAGGAATCGCAACTTGTAGCATTTGCTAGTAAGTCCAAATTGTAGGTTTCAACAATCGACATCCACGACGAACAGACACGAGGTAATTCACGTTCATCCACAATTTGTCATCTATCAGTTCCGTGGCCTGCCGAGAAGTGTTGTAGGAATCGTGAGGTGCCGCAACGTCTTTGATCGCGAGCACGAGTGGATGGTCTCGCAGTCGCGAATCCTGTGCCGGAGTATTATTTGAAGTTGGGTTCTGAATTCTCACGGCGTGATTCATTTCCTGTAAGAAAAATTGATGTTTTGTGGGTGTGGAGGAACTGATTTCTCTTGTGGTCGACGCGACGATTGTGTTTTTATAGTTTGTTGGCTGGTCGTTTTTTTGGATGCTACTTGAAAGCAGGGAAATTCTGCTTGTCGAGAATGGATTTTTTTTGGGTATGAGTTTTTGAGAGTGAAGCAGTGTTTTTGATGCAGAGTTTTTCGGGGGGGGGGGGGGTGAGGTAGAGAATGTGACGATTAGCTGGCGCGAGTTTGAAGTATAGAATTGAGCATGGGGTGGACATGGACCTCTCGGTTTACCGCCGTTTTGATCGTGGTGGCGGCGGTGGTGGTCAATATTGATGCGGAAGCTGCTCCTTATGTTCGGCCACCAGCTCGGAAGGCGCTCTCCTTCTGGGGTGGCGTGAAGAGAAAATCCACAGTTCAACAGGTGAGCTTGTGAGTAGAGCTTTTCCCTCATGAAATCTGGAAATCCTTCCTCATGAACTATCATCTGTTCAATCCGTTGTGATGAAGAGTCCAACTCCCTATCTTGTGCTTGTATCCATGTGATGAGGGTTTAGCGTTGAGCTTTCTGTGTTTGGCATTGAATCCACGCGGTTCTAATCTTTGCTATGGGTGTGTGAGTGTGGGTGTGTGTGTGCAGGTGCATGTGTCATTAGCAGGACCCAAGCACATGAGAGTCTCATGGATGAGTACTGTGTATCAAAACAAGCCACCAGTCGTTCAGTATGGATTAAATTCAAGGAATTATACTTTCACGGCTATTGGGAAGTCGTTTGGCAGCTACTCGTTTCTACTCTACGAATCTGGTATTATGAATCATGTTGTCATTGGTCCTCTGGAAGACAGCACCTCTTACTACTACAAATGTGGAGTTGGTCTTGAAGAATACAAATTTAAGACCCCTCCAGGTGTCGGCCCGTCTGTTCCTGTCAAATTTGCAGTTGTTGGTAAGTGCTACAATTTGAGGTTTATTACTCTTTATTGATCACATGGCAGTATGAGAGGATTTCAATTGTGCATTCAATTAAGAATTACATGTTCAGGCCTTGTGTGATGCATTAATCCTTCGCATACTTTTTTTTATTTCCGTATTAACCGCAGGAGTGAGAAAGAGTGGATTTATGTTACTGTGGTGATATGAACTGGTATATGCGTAGGGTACTGCCGAATCGTGTGAAATCATCGTGGAATTCGATCTTGTTCTTCTTACTTGATGCCCTGAATAATGTAGACCGTGGGGGTACAATACTTACTCAATTCTGTGCAGGGGATTTGGGTCAGACTGGATGGACAGAATCTACTCTAGCGCACATCGGTGTTTCCAACTATGATGTTCTGCTTTTTGCTGGAGACTTAGCATATGCGGACTATTACCAGCCTTATTGGGACTCATTTGGCGAGCTTGTTGAACCGTACGCCAATGCTAGACCTTGGATGGTAACAAGTGGAAACCACGACATTGAGTATATTCCACTTTTCGTTGAATCATACCGCTCTTACAATTTGAGGTGGCAAATGCCTTACATGGAAAGCGGCTCCGATTCCAACTTGTATTATTCCTTTGAAGTTGCGGGGGCGCATGTTCTTATGCTTGCTGCATACGCGGATTACAGTAAAGGCTCTGTCCAATACAAGTGGTTGCAGGTAAGAAGGCTAATGTGCTTTAGCTGATGTTGGTTTAACGTATTTCTGTTTCAGTCTCTCTGCTCATCTTTGTCATTTTGTGTTTGCATTGCTACAGTCGTTGTGTTCACACCTTGACACTATCGAAATGATACTGAAATTTGCAGTCAGACCTGGATAAAGTGGACAGGAGCAGGACACCATGGCTTATTGCGGTACTACATACTCCATGGTATAACACAAACCATGCTCATCAGGGCGATGGAGATGGCATGAAGAAGGCAATGGAATTAATGCTCTATGAGGCCCGTGTAGACATCCTTGTTACTGGGCATGTGCATGCATATGAGCGCACGGTGAGCTATTTTTTACTTTGTCGACTATGGTTTTTATTGTAGTAGATTTGAAGGTGGGTTGTTGAACACAAGTCGAAGGAGCTATGTAGTGTTATGCTTAAATCGAACTTCTAAGTACACGTCTAAAGCTGTCTATGGTGGAAGAAGACACTCGGTTGGTACCTCTGATGAACTATTTACTTGAGGGGCTCGCTGTGTTTTCCGACTAACTCAAAATGCGTGCATGTTTTTTTAGAAAAGTTTTATGTATGTGATTTTACTTTACAAATGGTTCTGACCTCAATTACTGTTCGTTTGAGGAATCAGACACGAGTCTATGCAAACAAAGTCGATCCCTGTGGTATTATGCACATCACCGTGGGCGATGGAGGCAACCGGGAAGGTCTTGCTAGAAGGTGCGTCTCATCATTCAAATGTGTTCCAAAGCTAGTCCTTGTTTTTGGGTCGTCCATACTTATGTTTAAGAGCTACGTGGGTCGAGTCTTACTTTCCACATACCTCGAGATTTTTGTGAGGATGTTGTTCTTGTAAAGAATCTCTTCACAAGTCATGCATGAATATTGAGGCTTGGATTTGGATTTTGTGCAGGTTTCGTGATAATCCACCAGAGTGGTCCGCATTCCGAGAGGCAAGTTTTGGTCATGCGGAGCTTGAAATTGTGAATGCAACTCATGCCCACTGGACTTGGCGCCGGAATGACGATGACGACTCTGTTATGGCTGACGAATTGTGGATAACGACCCTGAGTGCCGGGCTTTCAAACTGTGTTCCAGTGAAACCAAGTGTAGAAAGATCTTTTAAATCCGAATCTTTTCGTGTAGGGAAGGGCATATACTAGATCAGTCGATAGCTTAGTTTTGTATCAATGTACCATCAACCTGTTCACATCCGATTAAAAATCATGACCTTTGCTTGTGTTTTAAACTCTTTTGATGCATCCTGTGATACTTTCAGCTGAAGAGGTGTATTTGTGGCTGATTCTACTGATACCAAATCGTGCTTTCTGACTTAGAGAGGTCGATGCACCGTTCTGACGTCCTGAAGAACGGTGCATCGACCTGAGATCATACTGACTGTTGTTGCCTGTATTGCAGATAATGTAGCTCGTGCAATTTTATTTTGCCTAGATACAGAACTCCAAAATTCATCTTGTTTAGCTATTTGGTGACAGAACCTAATGGTGGTGTAGGGAAGAGTGGAAGCAAAAATCGTAATCGGAATACAGATGTGCAGCAGATAAACTAGATTACTCTAACATGAAACAGGGGGATATGAATTTAATCAAACATCAATTTCAGTCTTTAAAGGACCGAAAGAGATGCCACCTGATTGCTAGCATCATTCATCCACCATACAGTATGATCTTATCAAATATATATATATATATATATATATGTTTAAATTTTTATTCTAAATAACAATAATAAGTTTCATATCTTAGAATATTTTTATATATACCTACATACATACAGACATACATAGTTGTTTAATTTCTGAAAAGCTGGAAAAATAATAAGTTTGAATTCTGAAAACTTGGTACTCCTGGAAGCATCATCCTACTTTATTGTATTTAATATTTGCTATTTACACCGAAAAATAAATTATTACTGGTATTTTCAATCAAAGTAAATTTCAGCATCATAAATTTTTACTTGCTTACAAGACTTTGTATTTTGATATCTACTTGTACAAATTTTTAGCATTATCATGAAGATTTCTTTAAACTTTTGGTGATATAGACATTGCTTGAGAAAACAAATCATAACAAGTAGTGTTAACTATAGCCTTGCATTATGAAATATAACTTTAACTATAATATAAATAATAAATTTTAACCAAAAGAGTATTAAGATATATTAATTTATTGAAAGAACATGTGCTAAAATTAAATACATATATATATATATATATATATATATATACACACACACAACTAGTGTATAGTTTTAGGTTTTATATAAATATAAATTCTTAGTGAAAGATTTATTTTTAATTAAAACATTATTACTACTACTTGTTAATTAAAAAGTAAAACCAAAAAAATAGAATATGATTTTATGAATGTTTTATTGAATGTGAATACCAATTCTATAAAAAACATAAACAAAAAGCATAAATAAAAATGTGCAATAGAATCCACTCTAAAGCATATAATCAGTTGTCTTACTGATAAGTTTTTGACAAACGTTTTTAAACTTTTAAAAATGTTCGGAGAATTTTTTGATAATGCTACAATTATATTTTGTTAGTTGTTACATGCCATTCAATTTTGTATATTTTGTGTAAAAAAATAAATAATGGAACTCTAACATTTATTCAACGTAAGAGTCTATTTAATGTATCACAAACTTAAAATTGGTTAATTACATTAATCAAATTGTATGAAGGTAGATTTTTTAAAATAAAGTAATTTATTCAAAAAAGATATAGAATGACACTACTTTACTTTATAACCTAACTTTATTTTCACTATGACAATACTATCTTCAAATTTGTATCCATTACATGTTATTAATATACTAGACCATGTTGATCGATTGTCTTTTTCAAGTGTTACTTCTTTTAAATTAGTTAGTTGGAATTTAATTTACTTATTTACTATTAAATCTACAATCACATGTTTTCTTCCAATTGCATGCATTTGTAAAGATATGTGCTCATAAAAAAATAAACATTGTTATATTGGCTTATACAATAGAAAACATTTATCTTAATCATTTGTATTTTTTAAATTAATTTTTCTATCTTTTATTTTTTTTTCAATGTGATTTCTTTAAAATATTAACCATATTTGTTCAATATTTACCAATATTTCATTTATTAAAATTACATATTTAATGTAAAATGTACATAGAGAAATAAATAAATAAATAAATAATACAAACTCAATATAAAAATAAATATCATTCAGTAATGTTTTGCATATCAAAAAATATATGTAACATGAATTTTACGTAAGGCACATGTTGATTAAATTATATATTATGTTGCATGTTAAAAGCACATTTAGTATATTCTTGAATAAGATATATTATTATTAAATTTGACAAGGACTTAATAATTGTTTTTGATTTCATATATTTATCTTATTTTTATTATTTTTAATTCTTTGATTTTGTTTGAATTGTTACGTTTTCACACATTTATTATGTTTTCATGGAATATAGTTTTTATGTATAGTTTTGCATCATCTTATTAATATTTGTATTTCATTATTTGTTTAATTTTTGTACTGATCTATTTTTTTAAGCTTTTAAAATACAATATGGATGAGTGCAAAAATATCCCATTTGTTCAATATACATTTTTACTTTTATTTGATTACAAAGACATAGTGTGTGTGTATATATATATATATATATATATATATATTTTGAAATCTTTAAAAATCTTTAAAAATCTTTAAAAATCAAGCTGGTAATTTAACACACATTTAACAGTAGTAAAGAAAGCTTACATATCATGAGTGTAAATTGAAGGTTTTGTGATAAAACTAGTAATACAACAAAATTTACGTGTTTTGAAGGCAGTTAAATTCACCACACACACACACACAAGTATATATATATATATATATATATATATATATTCATTATTGGTAAAAAAGTATAAATTTAATATTTTAATGATTAACTCTTTAATAATGTTAAATTATGTTAAAAGTTCATGAGAAATTTTTGAAAAAATTGGGTGATTTTATACATGTCTTATTTTACAAATGTTCTACAATTATTGAAAATACTACATACATGCTGGTTTTGTTAATATTTTCGTTGAAAATAATTCTCTAAATAATATCTCATTTAATCATGATTTTACGAACAATTAGATGTTGAATTAACACATCCAATTCCGTGGCACAGAAATTCGTGGGGCACATCAAATAAGTCCATTTCAGTAGCCACGGTAATTTCCAACAGTAACATTGTCCGGGCCAAATTGCAGCGGTGTGAACAGGCTTCGTAATGGGCAGCATCCTCGCCGTTGGGCTGCTCTCATCATCGGACGGTCTGATGAGGTATTAGGTTAAGCCGTGGCAATGAAGACCCAGGTCTCCGCGTAGTTAGAGCCCTCTTTGCTTCGCACGGCTCTGCTCTCGCTTTTGCCCTCGGTATTACAAGCTCCGCGTCGATTTGCAGCGCTTGCGCTAAACCGCTTCGCCACCATGTCGATCAGTGAGGTCGCCTGCACTTACGCCTGCCTCATTCTTCACGACGATGGCATCGCCATCACGGTACGCACGACTGTCGAACCCTAACTTATCGTTCGAGTTAGGGTTTGGTTGGAGTTTTCTCGTTCGCATTAGTTTGTAGTTTGTGCGTGCTGTCGTGGTTCTTAATCTCGAGAATTTTTCAGGTTCCAGAGGAGCTTGTCTTCATGTGTTGCTGCCGAAATGCCTTTTATTTTTTAAGGTTTTCATGTGTTGTGTTTATGGTTCTGTTTGAGTGGTCTTAGGTCGTCATGGTGATCTTTATTTCTCAAATGTGCGAGGCGGAGATAGCTTGCGGACGAGAGCAGTGTAGTTAGGTCTTGAATTTGAGCTGCCTGCCTGATTTTTCTTATCAGGGATTTAAGTTACGTCTACTACTACCCTGAAGTGCCATGATCATCTTTGTCAAGTTTCATGGAGGTAATTGGTCAATGTTTGACCACAGCTGTGTTAGCTTTCATCGTTAACATGTCGTTGATAATGAATTAGGCCGACAAGATCGCTGCTTTGGTTAAAGCCGCGAATGTCTCAGTTGAGGGATACTGGCCTTCCCTGTTCGCCAAGCTTTGCGAGAAGAGGAGTGTCGAGGATCTCATCACCAATGTCGGAGGTACTAATTATTCTCTTTTTGAATGTGCTGTTAACCTACTGTTCGAAGGATGTGGAGAGCTTTTATCCTCTCGTTTTAGGCTTTTAACAAACTTATCTTTAAACGCATCATGGATTACATAGTAGCTTCATCACGAAGTACAGCATTGTATCCAAATCTTTTATTTAGCGGTTTGTTAACTACCATCTCGGGTCACTCGGGTCCTAATCTTTTCAGGTGGTGGTGGTGGTGCCGTCGCCATGAGCGCTGCACCCGCCGCTGGAGGTGCCGCTGCCGCTGTTGAGGCTCCAAAGGAGGTCGAGAAGGTAGTTTCTTTTTCACATCTCTTTATCAACAATGCAATGTCTTGTCGACAACCTTCTTGAGTAGTAATTGCAATCATAAGAAAAGCACGTCCCATTCACCTTAGCATATTTTCCGATAGTTTGTGTCCTGTAGTTGTGATTATTCCGTACGTATCACGCTGTTGCTGTCCTGTAGGATTACGGTCACATGGCAGGTCTGTAATGTATAGTTTCCTATACAAAAATGGGTGACGCATTCGGCGGTCGCAGATTGGTTTTATTCTAATTACGTGCTCCATTTCTGCATGAACTTGTTTTGCAGGAGGAGCCAAAGGAAGAAAGCGATGAAGACATGGGTTTCAGCTTGTTCGATTAGAATTATCTTGTAGGTATAGAGGAATGCTATCTATGCCGATCTTGCGCGTTTTTGTTAGGGGTTCCTTGATTTACAGAATTTCTATATTCACTACAAGCTCCTGCAGTTGTAATTATTCCAACGATGTGATGCTGAATTGTTGAGATTTTTTGATAGTCAGTCGTTTGTTGTGATAATCATGTTAATTCACGTGATGATGTGTTGAAAAACTGGACAGTTCCTGCGTGGCATGTCTCTCCTGTACCAATCAACTGGGTATACGGATTGCGTAGTGTTCGTCTGGAGTCTGTCGTTGATGAAGTCCATGTGATGTCTACTCACCATCTTAAGTGATGCCTTCTTGGTGTGATCTGTAATTGCTCAACTAGCTACGTTTTTCATAATATTGAATGGTAATTATTGATTAATTGGATGTTGGGGAATAGACATCAAGTCTAACAATGCACTGTGAGCTGAACTGGCGTTAGCTACGAATCTTTTTGGAATACACTGTGGTGCATCACATTTTGATGTCCTCTTCCACTAGTTTTATTGTAGTAAGGATCAAAATGATTATCTATTTTGATTGTATAGCTATTGAGCCCGATTTCGTGCCTCATTCGGTGTTTTATCTACGAATACGCTGATGCCTTCTAAATCTTCGTTCTTGCGGCTTTTGCTGATAAAACTACCGAGTACTGATGTGGAAAAAAGGTGCGGTTTGTTTTAACTTGACATGTATAAACTGGTCGTGCAAAGTACATCATGTATCAGATAGAGACGCGATGCATGTGGCCTGAGAATATATCTGTTTATATATCGATGGTATTCCCGCAGTAAATGCTGTTCAGAAGTGAATCGCTGAGAAATGTATGTGACACGTGCAAATTATTTCAGATTTTTTTACTCTCTTTTCTACTGCAGTATTTTTTTCGTACAAATCGTGAACGATGTTAGACAAGTGAAAAACAAGTAGTATATCTAATCCACAAACATGATCAACGCGGACTCTAATCATGCGACAATGCAATCTAATTTTCTCAGCTCCTAAAACAAACTGCTTAACTTCACCACCCCTAGTATTTCAACTATCTCACACCCAGTAGTAGTGCCATTCAAATTCCACTTTCATACACTGAAATGCTCATGAATACTTCAACGGATAACTGCTGAGCTTCTATTTTTACCTTCATCAATGATGGTGCTTTGGCTTAAATGATATGAACAAGTAAAAATGAAGGGGACACGACTTGAATCAACAAGACAAAGATTGCTGGAAATGTAGGACAAAGAACCGTACAAAAAGTGTGTATATTATAATGTTTTGTAAGACCCAATTGTTAAAATTATTTTGATTATTTAAATTAACAATATCACTCTTTTATTACAAAAGGTCACGTAAAGCCATATCTTGTATCTTAAGAAAATCGAAGTGAATGATTGATTGAAAATATAAAATAACCGGAACATAAAAAGAATTTAAAGGTATCCTTTTGAAAATTGTATCAAATTGCATTTATAATATTTAATCTGAAAATAAAAAAATCTAACATTCCATTAGAATGGTTGAATTATTTTGATTTTTGTATATCCCCAAAGGCCAAAGTATTATATATATATATATATATATATATATATTCTCATCTACACGTGTGTATGCATAATGTAATTTATTAAAGACATTTTCATGCATTTATTTATGCATTTACTTATTTTTCTACATTCATGATTTGTATACTTACAAATGTTTTAGAATATAACATGGAAGGCACACTGGTCCAGAGCACACACGTGTATTTTAATATGTAAACTAATATTCGTATTGAGAAAGGGAATAAAAATTATACCCTGTTAAAGGAAAGTTTGTAGAATACAGGATGAAGGTGTAAGTGGTTTCATATTTACATTTTTTTTTTCAATTTTTTTATTCACACGTAATAGCAATAAAAAAATATTTACACACACTTAATATTTTACAATCATTGGTGCCATATTGAGAGGATTTCGTCACATTACCAAGGGCATGTTCTAGGATGGAAGATGTACAATTCCTCCAATATTGTCCCATATAATTCATTCGTCCACCATTGAGATCATCCATCCATTAAAGTTTTCTTGCCATGCGTCATGCTGCTCGAACTACTCGTGTCCCCGTTGAGAATATTGAGCCATAGTTCTTCTAATAGACCAACTGTAGACACTGCCCCAAGTCGGTTCAAATTGAGACCCTGTATCTTGACGGATATAAACTAATATCATACCCGGAACCCCACGCCGGACGTCGTTGGGTACCGAGCCCGACTGTCAGTCGCCCAAGGCTCCCTTCCCTAGCAACGACTGAATAAACGTCCCTCCGAAGAATAAGCTCTCTTCCCGAAGCAGTAGGCTTGGCCCCCACGCTGGGCTCGGCGTCATGCTAGCAAATTAGCCTCGGCACGGGCTTGGAATCAGCCTCGGCTCAGCTCCGGCCACCCTACGATGTGAAGGCTCGTTCCCTCGGAAAGAGCGGACCGAGAGTAGTTGTAGGTTTTCACGCGGAGGGAAAGCGAGCAATCAGGGGCATATTTTCGGACGATTGGTGTAGTTCGGAGACTGCTGGAGATCGGGGGCCTGTTCGCTGCTCCCTATCTGCATTGATTTTTACCATTGTTTCCACCAGTTGGGCCGAAATCAGGCCTAGTTGAGAAGGTTTTAATGTCGGGGAGGCCTTCGCTTGGGCGTAACTCTAGGTGGTATGAGCAGGTGGCTGGTGTGGGTTTATGTTTATGTTTATGTTTTTTTTTTTTTTTTTTTTTTTTCTTTGTGTAATTGATGGCGGAGTGAGGTTTCGGAGTTCGCTGTGCGAGGTTTGTCGTGGTTATTGGAGTTCCTCGAGATGTCACTTTGGATGGTGGTGAGGAGCGGCGCGGCCCTTGGTTGGAGGGTTAGTTGGGAGGGCTTTTGGAGTTTATGCAAACAGGGTGTGGAGATGGTGCCGGAGCGTTGAGGTTTTGGAGGAGTCACGGACGGATACCTCATTCGCGGAGGCTTTAGCATGAGGTTTTGGGGTTCTTGAGTTGATGCAAGGTGCGGGTGCAGAGATTCGGCTTAAGTATGGGTGCGGCGGAAGAGGGTTGCACCCGATTAGATCATAGAGAGGAGAAGGAGATTGTGGCGGAGGATGTATTAGGTTCGGACTCTGTACCTGAAGGTCATAGCGAAGGTCATTTGAGAACGAAAAATGAGGTTAGGGAGGAAGAGATTGTTGTAGACGCTGCCAATCCTTTGGAAGAGGAAGACCCTTCATGTGGCTTTGCTGAGGTTGCGAAAGAAAGTGGCAACGAGGGGACTGTCAAACCAGTTCAAGAGGAAGACATTGACATTTCTCCAAATGGCAATAGTTTGGCCTCTCTCGCTCATACGCCGCATGATATGGCTGCTCGCTTCAAGAACATGTTCGTGTATGACAACTCGTTCTCAGTCTTGCCGGCTTCTATGAGGATTTTTAAGCAACTCAGGAAGCTCAAGTATTGGGCAAATGAAGTCAAAGTGCTACCTGACGAGATCGGTGAATTGACAGAGTTGGAGGAGGTGTGCCTTAAAATGTCTCCAACAGGTCTCGGTAGTTTGCCTCCTCTTGGCAAGCTTAGCGGGCTGAGAGCTTTAGAACTTCATCAAACTCCCGTACCTCCTTCTTCTGCCACTTTGACTCGAGACATTGCTCAACTTCGGTCTCTCACCCGCCTTGCGGTTTGCCATTTCTCTATCTCGTAAGTTTGTCGAAGTCACTGTATTTTAACCACAAAATCGCTGGAAGGTTGTCGAATAGTGCTAGTTCAATCGTAGTAACCGGCAGTGAGATTATGAGCAGGCTATTTATGAAGCAGATAACTTACAGTGATTGTAATTCGGGCATATGTTGATATGGAGGAAGAGAGTTCCTATTAAATCAGTCATTTTATGCAGACTGTGACGGCTCGTTGTGTGCAATTGAACAGCTTGGATTCCATGATGTCCATGATGATCGGTTAGCTGATCTGCGACGCGAGTTCTGGTCTAACAGTTGGAGGGCGTTAGGGCAAGTTGAAGTGCGTTTGCTGACTATTGAAATTGTCGAGTAGCAAGCACGGTCACGAAAGGTCTGCGAGTAGCAAGCAGCGTCTTTGCTTTTTAAAACGTTGGTCACGGGTTATTGGGAAGGTGGTTGTTAACTGTCGTGTGATGTTACAGGTGGATTCCTGCAGAGATATCTTCTCTCAAGAATCTGGAGGAATTGGACCTGTCATTCAACAAGTTGAGATCTTTACCAAAGGATATAGCTGGACTCACAGCTCTGAAAAGTTTAAGAGTAGCCAGTAACAAGCTGGTGGAGCTGCCATCTGAACTTTCAGCGTTGCCGAATTTGAGTAGTATTGATGTGGCACACAACCGCCTCACGTCGTTCCATTCTCTTGTTCTGCAGTCCATGACCTCATTGAGGGCCCTTAATGCTCAGGTATCTTTATTTGCTTGTCCAATCTCAGTGTCTCACGTAAGATAATCATAGATTGTAGGCGTGTCCTTCTGAACACTCTAACCCGCGAACAGCCTGAGAAAAGTCAGTTTCCAACCAAGCGAACTACCCTGATAAGAAGTTGACAAGAATTGGTTGATTTGAATCCTGATCCTCGGGGTCTTTCTCTATGTGTTTAGATACGTGAGCTTGCCTGTGATATGCTGACAGAGGAGATTTGCCCAGTGCTTTTGGGATTTTTGGACAGATGTAAGTTATAAGTTCAGCTGTGAGCCACAAGATTCAAATTGTATGTAGAGGACTTCGCATATACTGGGATGCTTATATGTGTGACCGTGATTCTTTATTCCAGTTCAACAAGTTGCAAAACATAGGCCAGATTCCAGCGTGGGTGTGTTGCCAGTTTGAAGGAAATGAAAAGCTGGAGACAACGCTTTATTGTGCTAAGTCTGATGATATAGCCTCTACAGAGGAGTATCAGTTAGACTGGGAAGTCTCTCCATCAGCTGGAAGTGCCCTCGTTGTCAAAGGTGAGGGGTCTGCATGCTGCGCATTGTTCGTAGGTTAGATTTGGTGATCTGTATGAAAGCTATATGTGATCAGATTCGTAGTGATGTTTCTGTAAGCATCTCAGAGGCAAGTCTCGGTGGTTCATTTAGTTTGTACATATAATGCTTGTCCCCGTATGTGCAGAGCTGGAAACTGACATTTGTCGTGTTGCAGTTGATGATCTGGTGTGTCCATCCGTGAAGGGAAACTCTCTCAGCCAGAAAGTAACTACAAACCTGAAATTAAGGCGCGGATGGCGGAAACAGGAAAACCAGCAGTACAAAGCTCGACAAGATCGTCTGAACTGTAGTCGCAAACATCGAAATGACGAGCTTTGTGTCAGTAGCGAGGAAACAAGTGTCAGAAATGTGGAGGTGAATCATTTTGTGTTTGTATCGTGATTCAACTCATAGCACAAATTTCCAAACATTTTGCTCAATGTCTCGTCTCTATTGTTTGTACACTCCTTCGACCATAACCATCTGGTGCGACGCGCAGGTTGAAGAAGTTCCATGTATAAGTTCAAGTGGAGATGAAAGTGTCATGGACTTACAGCAGCCAATAGTTTCGGAATGTATTGTTGGTGATGCCGGGAGAGATGCATGTGGGACAAAAACACGCGTTCTTGTTTCAGCTAAGCAGGAATTTGATTCGAGGGAAGACTCTGAGAAGGGTAATTGCCACAGTGAGTCTAGTTTAAACAGCGAAAACTTAAGGGGAGGGAATATTGGTGGAAAAGTAGATTCCTTGGTGGGATCGAAGGATGAGGGTTATCGCAGTGACGTTGATCGTAGAAATTTGAAAGACAAAAACAGGTCCAGAAAAGCCATTACTGGTGATAGATCTTCTGGAAACGAGGAATGTAAGTCTTTAGAGGATTGTGAAAGATGCATTGTCAAGCAGGAGGTAAGATTTAGGCGACACGGCAGTGATACGGACAGGAATCCGAAGCCAAGTAAGCGGCGGCGCCCTGCACAAGATTTTTCAGAAATTTCGTTCAAATATTATAGTGAATCTTTTTGTGGGTTCCATGAAAGGTTGCCTGACGGCTTCTATGATGCGGGTCGTGATCGGCCCTTTTCCTCCTTAGAGGTTTTCGAAAAGGAGCCACCTTCCTTCAACTCGAGGGAGGTCATCCTTGTCGACAGGTAGGTACAGCCTTCGAACTGCGGCATAGATGATAAGAAGCTGTGCAGGGTGTCGAACGTACAGTGCACGCTCCTTGGCTTTGTAGTGACCAATGGCGCTCATTCTTCTCTTTTAGACGCTTTACAGCGCCCCCAAAAATAGTTTTCCTAGTTTTCACCTAGATCTTTTCTGATGTGAGCGGCTAGCTTTGTTTAGTTTCTCCGACACTGCATTGTTAGCCATTATCATTATACTTGTACTAATGCCATAAGTTCAGATATGTACACACATTTTGGGAAGTTGTTGATTAATAGAGTTTTTATCTATTTCATTTATTTTTTGTGAATCTAAGTTCTTTCAATGTTTAGTTTATATTTGTTCATTCTACTTGGTCTCACTTCCGTGAATTTTGATAAAACTGGCTGTAGAGAAAGGGATGAAGATTTGGACGAGATTACGCTTTCAGCTCAGCAGCTTCTTGGAAGGTTGAGGCCGTCACTGTCCAAGAATAATGAGGAACAGACAAAGAGAATGGCAGTGGATACTTTTCAGATGATTACAATGTTGGCCCTGTTTGTTTCCGACTGTTTTGGTGGCAGTGATAAAACTCAGAATGTCACAAACATGCGCCGAGCTGCACTTGGAGGCACTGCGGGTGCTCCTTTTGTCTGTTCTTGCAGCTCAAGTCTGAGTGCAGGAAGTTCCAATGGATTTGTAGATAATGGTGTCGGATCTTCACCTGGGGCTGCACTTCCAAGCGTGCACGCACTCTGTGAAGCTGCAGTGAAGTATTTGAAGGCACAGAGAGGATCAAACGTGGTTCCTCTTGGGTCTCTACGATTTGGCGTGTGTCGGCACCGTGCTATACTGCTCAAGGTCTGTAAGAGCATTTCCTCCTTGATTTTGTCGAGTACAGAGCAGCTGAATTATATGCGTTTCTCTTTTTGTTTATCCAATGCTATGTTAATTCTTGTAAATGTTTTAGGTGGACATCCGGTGAGATTTATTCGTAGTGGTAAGAATAGAACAGTTTAGATCTCTTAGAAAGTATCTGCTGCTACACATAGAAATGCAAACTATGATTGACCCAATGCTTGTGCGTACAGTACTTGTGTGACCGAGCAGATCCCGTAATTCCATGCGAGCTGGTGCGGGGCTATTTGGATTATATGCCACATGCATGGAATGTCATTCTGGTAGAAAATAGCAGTAGCAGCGTTCGTGTTCTAGTCGATGGGTGTCGTCCCTTAGATATTCGCCATGAAAGCGATCCGGAGTACTTCTGCAGGTATTTTTCCTTCGTTGAATGTGACCGACACTACCACTTTTACTACTACTACTACTACTACTATTGTGTGGAGGTGGTTCTTTTGTATTCAGTATTTAGTATTTACATGTACTTTTTCGTTTGGACATGACGAAATCTCGACCCTGAAGCCTTTTGCTAATACGCTTGTCAATTTGCGGATTAAGGAGCAAATTAAAATCTAACACGCAAAACCTACTGCATTTTCTGACTGTTTTAATTGTACTTTTGTTGGGACCGTTTCGTTGGTGAAGATACATTCCACTCAAGCGGTTTCTTTTGCCATCTGCTTTGGATGGAGATCGGCTGTTGAACAATGACATCACATCTCCCGTTTTGCTCGAGGAAATTGGTCAAGGAGCTTCAGGTGCTTCTGTTCGCCGCTGTAAGTTTGGGGAAATTACAGCAGCTGCGAAGGTTTTAATCTTACACATTCTTTATGTTCAAGTTCCTTGATGATGCACCTTTGTTTGGTGATAAATTTACTTCTGAGTATTTACTGGGTATGTCCAACTTATTATGTCCTGCTATTATATCATTGCAATTTTCTTTCTCTGTTATATCAAGCATCTAATCATCTCTTTTTGATAGGTTCGACGACTTGAAGGAGGTGGTGATGGCTTATCTGGTAAGGGTCCAGAAAGCAGCTGTCTTAGCGAACTGCGCATACTTTGCAGTCTTGGCACGCATCCTTGCATCGTTTCTCTTTACGGCCACCAGTTTGTCTCTCAGTCCGACACAGGTTCCCGGCTCATCATATACATGGAGCATGTGAAAGGAGGCTCGCTAGAGGTGCGTTTCATTGTTCACGGAAGCCTGGTGTATTTTTCTCTTTTGTTTTTGTCTCTAGAATATCATTTATTGAATAGGTTCAAGTACTACACCTTGTCATCAGGTGACTGGTGTTAGAAGACCTCGCCTTATGCTCATTTCGAACTGACGTGCTTTTGTATTTTGAGAACTTTTTTGGATGCTCGTATTAAAAGCGCTTTTATTTTTAATTTTCTTAAATCATGTTTAAAATTATCAGAAAGGATCGCCACCAGATGGGGCAGTAAGAATTTTTCTGTATAATATTATCAATGGTACACCTGGGTGGTGGTGTATTTCGCACTTTTTGAATCTAACCCCAGATTGTTTTGTAACATTGTTGATCTGTGCGCAGGGAGTAATTAAAGATTTGGCTAAAGAAGGGAAAAAATTCATGTCTCCAAGGCTTGCCTGCCAGGTGGCAAGAAATGTGGCTTGTGCTTTGGGTATGCTGCACTCCAAAGGCATACTTCATAGGGATATAAAGAGCAGCAACGTGCTGATTGATCTGGATTCAAAACAGGGTCCCGATGGAGGTCCTGTTGTGAAATTATGCGACTTTGATAGTGCTGTTCCATTGAGTTCGTCAGCTACTCATACATGCTATCTGGCACATCGCGGTGTCCCACCAATTGGTGTCTGTGTGGGAACACCTCGTTGGATTGCTCCCGAGGTGTTGCAGGCCATGTATGGAAGGCATGCCTATGGATTGGTACGTTCTTGTCCCTCCTCCTGCGTAAGCCGTTTTACGGAGGTTGAATGTCAGTTTGTCTTAAGACTACAAGGCTCAATTATTTCTATGTGGCTTTTCGGATCGCTTCATGTTTATTAATAAATTTAATTTGCTTCTAATTTTTTTATTTCTTAAAATATTTGTTGATTTATTTTTCTGGACTTTTTCAGCCGTGTATTTTTTTCTCTTTCATTCAAGAAAGAATTGGTTCACGTGGAAGGGGATAAATGCTGATGTCGTTTCTTTCATTTTACGCAATTGTCCCTCACCAGTGCATTTATATTGCGTTATTAATTATGCATCAAAACTAAGTACTGACGACTGGATGTGTTGCAGGAAGCGGATGTGTGGTCTTTTGGCTGCCTGGTGGCTGAATTACTGACCCTCAGGGTTCCATATTCTGGGCTCCTGGAATCTGAAGTTCACTCTTGTATCCAGGTGATGCTCACGATCTGAAAGTAGTTTTCTTGGTGGTAACTTGGTCAAGTTTGCGTTCTATTTATTCGTCTTTATTTTGATTTGAAGTTTGTATTTTTGAATTCAATAGTATCGTGCTGCAGTATACGAAGAGGTTCAACTGGCTTGTTTTGGTTTCTTGTTTCATTCGTGTCTTAAATACCTGAAAGTGTAGGGTATGAGAAATCTAATATTGTTGAATTCGGGCACTCGTGTTTTCAGATGGGTCAACGTCCTCGTTTATCCGCTGAGCTAGATAACCTGGCCTCTCAACCTTTTCCTGACAAAAAAACTGCAATTGACGAAACGGATATCCTCAGAGTATTGGTGAAACTTTTTTACTCTTGCACAAAGGCAAGTCCGTCGCAACGTCCCACTGTTAAGGAGATTTTTGCAATGCTTTCAGAGGTTTCCGGTCCTGCCTCGACAAATGTAGATCCACCATTCCAAGAAGAAGCGACTGATGTATCCACGAACATCGACGAGACTGGTCCAAATATATTGAGACCCCTTGAATCGGGACTTCTAGAGGAATCAACACCCAATGAGGCAGAACTGCCATGCAGTTGCGGAGGGGAGAAGTGTCCGCATTGTGAATCAAAAAGTGTCTTAGAGGCAAAAGCTACCTGATTTCGTAGACGATATATTTGGTGTCCAGCATTCAATGAAGATTTCGAACTATTTGTCTCATAATTACCAGATATTCACGAAGTGAAACAGTATGGAGTATGGAGTTACTCTTGCATTATTGTGTAGCACTAAGAAATCACTTTTGTTGAACCATGGTTTGGGCTTGGAACATACATAACAGGTATTCCGTCATTGATTTACTGTCGGTATTTAATTCTCAGGACCTGCTCCATTTGCCGTACGCATTCGATAATGGTTACTGCTCCATCTGATCTTAAGGTTGAATTTATGTTCTTTGTTTCTGTTACCAATTGTAGAGAACATCTGTGGTTCTAGCAGCACCCAATTCTTCGTCTAATAGATAACGAAAAACCAGCATATTTTGCCTGCTGGAAGTTACACACGCAAGCATGTTGTGAACGTGTGACATCGTGTCCTTTTTTATTTTACTATATTCTTACACAAGAAGTGGTCACATTATGCTAGAATCCACCAAGTAGGATTGAAATTTTAGGTACTTGCAGCTGGAATTTAAACCGCCAACTTCTGTGAGACTGGTTTTTTTGACACATGCACTGACATTTTTTCAATAGCTTAACAAATGGAAGTTCGCTTTTCGAAATGTGATTGTAGAAACGGTAGAAATTTTCATGGCTGGGTTTTATTTTCCAATTAATCGTTGTAACTTCAATTATGTCTTTTCCGATTCTGCAACGAATGGTTTAGATTCTGAATAGTTTGGCGCAAGTTGCTTTTGATTCAATTCTTTCTTCAGACTACCTACTTGTATCAAATGTTTGTCAATGTTTTCACGCTTGAATTTATTGACATTTGTAATGTCATTTCACATGAATCATTTGTAAAAATGTCATCCTGTTTATTATTTATTTATTTATTGTATGTCAAAATAGTAAGAGAATTGTCTGATACAAACGTAAAGATGCAAGAAATATAGTTATGAAATTAAAGTTACTTTACTGAAATAGTTTTTGCTGCATTAAAATTACTTCAAACAGGTCTAAACAAGTTCAAAATCACTACAATAGTGTTGAAGATTTGAAAAAAAGTAGACATTCATGTCTGTTATTAATACATATTTGTACCACATAAAATTTAACAACAAATCTTGCATTGTAGCACTCCACTAAGGTATTATATAAACATATATAATTTAAATAATTTTATATAAATAAAATTAGATGAATTTGACTAGATAAACATTATTGTTATTGATACCATCTTTGATAACAACTTCATTAGCGCTTAGATATTCTTATTCTTCTTTAGAAAATATGGCCATAATCTTCTCATTAATTTAAGATTAAATATTATTAATTTAAGATTAAATAATATTAATTTAAGATTAAATATTATTAATTTAAGATTAAATAATATTAATTTAAGATTGAACTTGATATATACACACCTTCACATGCATCACCAAATTGAATTTGCATTGCACAATGCTACTTGTATTATGAGCTTGGAGTCTAAAACAATTGATTGCTTGATAGATCTATTCTTTTTGTTTGAGTAGCATTCAAAGAGACTTCAAGGCCATGTGAATCAAAAGCTATTATTACACGTTGATCAAAGCATCTCTCAAAGCTTGGAGCTCTTTCTTGCGATTTAGACAAATTTATTTACATTGTGTGAGGCCGAATGAACTTTGTATTAGTCGCTATTTGCCATGAGTCCATGACAAAGTTCCAAGCTTGTCTATCCTCTTGCCTATAGTAATAGAAACCACAACATTGGCTATACCATTACAAAAAGAATATAGACTAATCACTTGATGAATACTTTTCAAGCTAATCCAACCTTTAAAACAGATGCAATACTTAAAAGTGGACAATTGAGTTCAAGTTAAAACAAAAAAGAGTACATGGAATGAATGAAAAGCCACATTCTCTCTCTACAAAACATGAACTTTTATGATAAAAACAAAGACCAAATGAGTACATAAAGATGCTCACTTTGCAATACAAAGCTTTGTAAAACAACTTGTCAATTCTATGAAATAATTTGTGAATTCTAATTTTTTTATTTTTTTTGGTAAAATCCAAGATAGATCCATGTAGTGAATGAGAGCTACTACTTGTCTTCTTGAGCAATCTTAATATACAGATAACCAATCTCTTGTAAAAATAAGAAGCTTATTTATTTTTTTGATAAATTAATTTATATATAAATATAAATAAAAGTAATTTTTTCATCATATACAATTTAAAAATAAAGTAAAATCAATATAAAATATAAAAATAAAGATTCTCAATTCTATAATGTTTTAATTTCTAGCAAAAAAAAGTATTAGATGAAATATAATTAATTTTATTAATATAAAATTTATGAACAAATTAATATAAAAAAACTTAATTTTATCTACATCAAAATTTTGCAAGAAAATAAAAATAAATTGTTATTTTAAATAATTTTAGTTATTAATTTATAATTAAAAGAAAACAAATACTAATAATATTTTAAAATATAAATATATTTTTTATCTTGAGGAGTTATTATTGATTTATGTAATTAAAAATATCTAAAGTTTTATAAAATTTAGCTTAAGTATCAACTAAATAAAAATATATATATATATATATATATATATATATAACATAGCTTGGATATAATACATAGTTTCAAAAAAGTTTTTTGATTGGTTGTAAAGAAGAAAATTTAAAGAAAGCAAGATATATAAAAACTAATAAATAAGAAAATGTGGGAACATTAGAAGAAAAGACTATAGGAACATAGAAGCAAGGCAGTACAAATAAATGAAGAAATGGATGAATGTATGAGAAATTGCAACACCCAATAGCCCCAATTTTTGCTAGTTATATATATATATATATATATATATGATAACTTAGGTATAATACAAATAAACAAAGAAGTCTTTTGATTGTCTATGAAGAAGATAATTTGAGGAATACATAGAACATAGGAATCAAAGAACATGGAAACATGAGAACAAAGAAATGTGAGAACATGGAAATAAGAAAATATAGATCTACTAAGAAACGTAAGAATATGAAAATAAGAAAATATAAATAAACAAAGAAATAGATAGATGTGTTTAAGATTATAATGTTTAATGATATAATTTTTTGCTAGTTATATATGAGACAATTTGGATATAACACAAAGAAAATACATATTTGGATTAATTTGCTATGAAGAAGAAATTGCATAGAACTTATAAAATATAGAGAATATGCAAATCATGGAATATGAAAATTAGAGAACATAGAAATAAAAGAACATGAGAATATAAAAATTAGGGAATATAGAAATAAAAAAATTTGGGAACATAAGAATTAAAGAACCAAAGAACATAGAAATGAAGGAGTATGGATGAACAAGGAAAAAGATAGATGTATCAAAGATTGCAGTGTCTAATGGCACAAGTTTCTATTAATATATATATATATATATAATATTTTCTTATTTTTTAAGATTATAGTGTAGTATATCTATGAATTGTATTATAAGCTTTTTAGATCATAAGATTATAATTTTGGTAATGATTGATGATTTTAATAAATTTTAACATATTTAAAAATTTAATAAAGAATCAATTATCATCAAGTTTATGGAATAAGTATTTAAATAGGATATCTAAAAATACACTCAATGGTAATTCAATATAATTTAAAAAATATAACAATAGTTTAGTTTTTAGTAAAATAAAAGAGACATTACAAAAAATAAGGTAGTATTAGAATATTGGAGTATTAAAAAAGATAATTTTGATAATATTAAAGAATTAAATATATTAAAAGCCTAATTTAATGGTAAGCTAAAATTTAAAATTTTATTTTAATAGTATAAAAGATTGTAATTGATATTTATAAATCAATTTTTATGATAAAAATCAAAGTGCATGTAATATGTTATGTCTACTTAATAATAATTTTACTAAAACTAACAAATAGTTAGAATAAAATAAAGTAATTAGATGTTTTTTTGCTAAATATGTAATACTTAATATTTAAACTAATGATTATTTTAAAAAATTATGTATCTAAAATAAAAAATAAAGAACTACAAAAGATAAGATATAAAACTATTTAAAAATGTATATATAATTTTAATAGAAAATTACAAAGTATTACTAAAATTAATATAAAATTTAAAATAAAACTATAAAAAGTTAATATATTCATGATTGATAACATCTTTTTTATTTACTACTTAAAAGAAGTAGATGCATATTTTTAAACTATTTTAGTATCTAACACAAATACTTTTTTTAATTAATAACATATAATTGAAAAATTTAAGTGCATTAATTATATGATATGTAATATTATTTAGCCTTTTATTTTTTAGAAAAAAAGAAGTAAAATATATGTAAAATAAAAATATTAAAAATTAAAAATATAAATTATAGAAGCATAATAAGTAAATTTCTAATTTTATCAGTTTTTAAAGTATTAATTATTGATTTTGGAAAATCTATTTTATTATCCAAATTTTAAATATATTTCTTAATTCGGTTTAAAATGTGTAAATATACATATAAATATTTTTTATTTTTTATTTATTCAAATAAAATTTAGATTAATTTATCATATTAATTTTAGATGCTCTAAAATTTGTATATATAATATTTTATACATTTAATTATTGTATTGTATATATATTATGTATTTTGGATTGGTTTAGTTTTTTTTATAAATTCAATAAAACATGTTATTATTTATTTTTATTTCATTAGAAGTTAAAAACTCTGTATTAATCAAATATTTAATGAAATTGATGCATCAAAAGAATAGAAGGAGCAAAAATTATAATATAAAAAGTAAATTACACAAAACCATAAGAAATTTCAGATGCATTGATCATAAATCAATAGAAAAACTTAATCAAGGTCATCAAACTATCATCAAAACAATAAATGTAACTTTGATGTAGGATGTGCTCTTCAAGAACCAAAGGAACTATTCTGTAATTCAACATCATGAAAGACAGAATGTAAATAGCTATGGCTATTACAACAAAGTTCCACCGTAGAAGTTGCCCTTGAAACTAACTAACTAACCAACTTTGTGAAAGGGCGATTGCTACACATGGGCTCATTGAATGACATACCAACTACTCTCCAACAAGAACAACAAAACAAAACAATAAAGTGGAAGTAGAGATAGGAGTGAGGAGCTTCTCTACAAGAGGGAAAGGGAAGAGAGTGTGGGCTTTCCAGGGCATCCAGAAGCACAAGAGCCCTTTCATTGCACCCACAAGACGTGCAACATGGTATGAGCCAGAGGCGGAGGAGGTGAAGCTTTTGGGCTTCTGTCAATTGCTGAGAGCGTTACAGGAATATCTGATCCTTGCAGAGCCAGAACAAGTGCCTTCATCACGGCAACGGCAATGATCCAGACGCAAAATGGAGCACACACTCACTCTCGGAACTCGGATCACCAATTTTTCATGCGCTACGCTACTCTAATAACTGTTGATCCACGGTTGATCGCCGTTGGGCAAGAACCCATTGGAATTATACATCAGTCTACACAAGATTTGTACACCAAATACCTTTGCGGTGAACCAGGTGGGGAGGGGGAGGAAGAAGGAAGAGCCTCAAGTGATAGTGAAGAGGACGAAGATGACGATGATGCAGACTCGTTCGCATGCGGAGACAGTTATCTCGACCTCGGCACTCGCAATATGCACAGAAAACGAAATCAGCAAAAAAAAAAAAGAGAGCTGAGGATGATGGCCTTGTGCTGCTGCTGCTTCATGTCACGCGCGCATTGAAGGAGGCATGTTGTCTTCCATCGGGTACCAGGGATCCAGAGGGTTGGATGCGGCGGTTTGCATGCGGCGGGCGAATTTGGCCAGGAGTTGATTCTCCAGGGCTATCAGGTAAGGGTTCGGCGCTAGACTAGGATCTTGAAAGTTGGCAATAGAGCTCATGAAATCGCTGCCCATTCCTTCCCACAGCATTGGCATGGTGGTCCGGCTGGGACCTCCGAAGAAGCCATAGGGAGCCCCTCGTACGCTGGCCGGCACGTTCGGGTAGGGTGGGAACCGAGCGCCTCGTAAACTGGCCGCGTCGAATTTGGCGCGGTCCTGATCGACGTGTTTGGATGGGGCCATATTGCTTCGTAAGAAGTGCTGGAAGAACTCGGAGTTTGGAAGCTCCGAGGTCGAGTCCGGGAGGACGCTCTGTGGAGAGTTGTGGACTTGGGGTTCAGCTTCAGCATCTTTGTAGTCGTCCAGGCGGTCCTCGTCCAGATAACCTGGCACCGTCTTCGACTGTTGCTGCTTGGCGGAGTTTGCAGGTTTGGGACGATGGAATCCGGTCAGCTTCTGCACTGCGTCTCTAAAATCCTGGCAGCTTGTTTCCAAAATCGTGGTGGGTACTCTCCGTGCAGCTCTCCTGCGCTTGTAGATCACTTTGCTTGCTGCAAGTCCAGACGCTTTGGAGTTGCTGCTTGAGCTTTGGTATGGCTTTGATCCGCTTAATCCCTGCTGCTGTGTCTGTAACCCTGCCATTCTCAGATGTTCCGGACAAAAACCTCGCAGGAAGTACTTCACTTGATCACCTTGAGAAAACTATCTATTCGGAAAATGCTTTACGCTTATAATTGAGCTCCAGAACATGTGGTGTAATGCTACGGAGAGCGGAGCCTTAAAATCCGAATGGCGACACTGATTAATTGCAGAAATTGCGGAGTGTCCATGGGCCAAATTACTTCCAGAACTTAGATGAAGGTGACAGTTTCGACTTGAAGCTGCGCAGAATACACATGCACGAATGTCAGGGATGCTTGAAGCAGACGAAGCGCAAGATTACAGGGACAATATTTGCAATAGAAATCAACTAAAACAAGCGCTGATCAAACAGGGCGTTTCAATATCGCCGGTGACTAAATCTCCATATTGCATCAACTATTGAACGATCAGTGATGGTCTGTTACAAACAGCATGCGATTCTCAGAAAACGTCCTAGACAAAGATTCTAGACCTGAATTATAGATATTCACCACTGTTACCGACTGCGTCACCAATCTGATCCAATCTCCTTCAGTTTTCTGATTCTGTCTGAAGCGAGGTTCTACGAGTCCCCTCTTCTAAGATGATCTTCCACCCGGATACCTCATCCAACAACGTGGTTCGCAGTTCGAGCAATACACATTTAAAGAGGTCTCTGTTTTCTTACTAACGTAATGCGTTCGATCCGACGAAGCGACCGAGCAAGCCTGATTGGGCTGCACATCCGAAATGGTAACGCATCAAACGATTGAGTGTCTGGTCTCATCTTCTTGATTAAAGGGAGGTGCACCAACACGTTTCACAGTTTGGGAGAAAGGGTGCACTAAAACCTTTATGTCCATCGAGACCTGCTCTGTTCTCTAGAATCCCAACTGTCTCTGCTAAATCCCACTTGCAGTCCAGACATTCTCTGACGTGGACTGCACGGACATCAGCTCACTTACGTGCAACCTTGGTGCAAAAGCTACGTCACCGATCATGCTGTAAACACCGCGGAAACAGTCACTAAGATTACTATATGCAACTTTATATCGTACAGGGTGAGTTGGAATGCTTAAGAAGTTCGACCAACAACCCCAGAGTGTAAACCATCAACCAAAAAGACAGACAAGAACACTTACTCACAGACAAGTTATGGTAGCGATCCGTGGCCTCCCAGAGAGATTACAAGTCCTTTTGATGATGAGCTCTTGACGAGGACGATTCACAGTGATCTAATGCAGATTTAGTTGGCGTAGAGGTAACCATGCATATGTATTAAGTAAAGAAGGTGCCATCAAATCCTCCAAACTCATCCATTAAAAAATTAGCAGGTTGTGGGGCCAGCGCGGGCCAGCGTCTAAAGAGCTCATGTTTCCATGCCCCTTTCAACGGTCAAAGGGCACAGTGCACAGTGCTTGATTGCTGCGGGGGAGGTGTCAAGCGGGGATGAAGGCAATTTCCAAATTTAGTGAAAAACTAAGAGAAAACTTGCAGGTTCCAGCTCTGTACGTTTCCTGCCCCCATGAGAAAAATTCGGCCGAACCGATCTATAATGAGGTGAACCACTGTAGTCAAACAATCAATGAAGCTAGGCTCGCAGTGTGTGGGTGGTTCGTAATCTGCCATGAATCCATTCTACATACCACGTCCATTACCATACACTACAGCCAAGTAATTTGCATCTGGAAAGCCAAAGCTGGAATCATCAGGAAAAATTTCTTTAGCCCCTGAAAAGAGCACTCGATGTTTTAACTAACGACCTAGAAAGCAGTTAATCATTCAAGTGCACGATAGACAGTAGAGCTGCTTTATAAGGAAAGTTACGGATTAGTCCACCGTACATCTACTTCGGATGGTGTGATGAGAATTGTACACGTATGTTTGTAAGTATTGATTGGGGAGGTAAGTATGGAACATGTAGAGCTAACTTGCCGACGTGTCCAGTGCGAACCCATCCAAATGTCAACCTGTAACGCAATGACCGACTTCTTCATGCTTTAAATGTTGCAGCGTTCGAGTGCTTCCAGCGGCTGTCAGCGCATCTCCACGGACAGCCAACGCAGACAACAGTTCGCTATTACATCGTGCTTGGTTGAACTTCTCAAGGAACGAAGTTTCGTGGAGTAGTCACCGAATTTTAGTTCCAGATGGTTTGCGGCTGCGAAAGTCGAGCTTGTTTTTTCTGCAAGTCTGGAATGGATTTTGATGTCAAGCCCAACGTAAAACAACTTCCTCCTCTCCTGATGAATGTGTAACTGCTTTTCCAAAATCCATCACTACCATTCAGTTTGTCCAGATAAAACTCTTCAAGTTCATTCAGATGATTAAATAATCAAACAGTTTTTTTTATTCAGAACTTTCATTGTAGATACGCAATCTTCACATCGTGAGTGCAACAACAACGTTTTCCTCAAATCACACGAGTTGGTAGTGGGTGCTCGATGCTCTGATAATCCACCCTATCCTGAGGAAAAAAAATTTGTGTGTCAGGGAGGAACATACTTATATATATATATGTATATATACATATGTATATATATATATATATATTATAATGAGTTGAAACACGACTAACCGATTAATTTAACAGAGAAGAGCATTGCCGTCCCCCGCACAACAGCCAGATGTCAAGATTCCTGCTTTACGCGTTGCGCAGCGTGACGAGGCAACGCACCGAAATATCTGCCGAAGAAGGTTAAAGTAAACCTTGGTGAGACTCGAATGTCAAACCGGGAACAACACTGGGCCCCTATAAGTCCAACACTTGGTTGACAATTTCCAAGCCCCTGTTTCGCATTCCAGGGCGAGCCAACACACCTTTCCTGCTTGACCTGGGTAAGCTTCTTTGGTGCAATTCCGCACCTTTATTATGTGGGGAAGCACTAACATGACACCTAATTCAAAGAAACCCCACTTTTTCTGTGGGATGCTGGGAGTGGGTTGACCCTTTTCCCCACAGCTTTCCTCTTTACAGTTTGGATGGCCCGGTAGCATCAGCAGCAATTACTTCTCCCCCTCCCCTCCCCTCCCCTTTTTTAAGCCACAAAAAAAAAAAAACAAACAAACAAACAAACAAAAATAATAAAAAATAATAAAAAATAAAAATAAAAGTCTTATTCTCACACATCCTCTCAGCACTACTGCTGCTGCTACTGGGGTGAGTAGGGAGTCTCCTTGAGAGAGTCCCCCCTCCCCCTCCCCTAAACACACCCTTCCTCTTCTGCTTCTTTTCTAATCCCAATGCTACCTTGGAAAAGCCTTTTTTGTGGGTGACTGGGCATATATAATTGTGCAATGCACATGCTAGGGATGGGGTCATCCTTTCATCTGGTCTTGCTAATGCTACCCTTAGGCCATGCCTTGCACCAAGTCTATAATTGCCATGTGGTGGTGGTGCATGGTGGATGTTGCTCCTGGCCAAATGGGCTGCAGTCATAAGTTAAGTCTGTGATTGGAAACAAATTAGTTTAAAAATGCTTTTTGAGGATGTTGTGTGAGTGAAAAGTTTGTTTTAATGTGTTGGAAATGAGAGTTTCAACTACAAAAGAATAATTAGAGGTACAAAAAAAGTATTTTTGAGAGATGTTTCACACAAAACACACACACACACACACATATATATATATATTATATATATATATATAGAACTAAAGTTTAAATAAAACTCACAAACATTAGATAAAAATATGTACTTAAATTTTGATATTATGTAATATTTACATAAATATGTTGTAATAAACATATTAAGATATTGAAATCATACAATGGATTTTTTTACATAGATATGAATATTTTTAATTTGAAAAATCATTTTGTATAATTTTTAAAAATGTTTGTATTTCTAAGAAAAAGAATTGATGAACAAAACACATGTCTTTCAATATCGATACTGCTCAACCATTACATTGAGTTCAAATTAAAACAGAATATTTATTACAGTTCCTGATATATATATCATTTTAAAAATATTTTCAATATTTGCTATCATGTAACTTTACTTTGTATTCAGAAACTCTGTACTCCCCCCTTCCAAGAGTAACAATTGCTTTGGATAGCATGGATTCTAGGCTTGTTCAATTCCTAAGCTTTGCATTATAATATTAGAGATTGAAATCACATACATACATATTTATAAAAATTTGAATAGTTCATATTAAAATCAACCAACATTACTTGTTCGGATTTTATTCTAAATTATTATTATTATTATATTACTGTAGCATGAAATGCACTATCAATATATTGCATAGTACTGCAGAAAGGACGTTCGTAGTATCATGTAGATATTTTATGAAGAAAAAGAAAATTCAACCCTTCCCATTTTAAGGAAAGGTCCTCTAATTAAAAGAGGGCAAGAAAGAATCAATTCTTCAAAGGGGGAAGAATTCCATTGTGGCTCATGCAGAAGCTTCACAGAACGATACACCCTAACACCAGGAAACCTTCCTCAAGTCTAATGAATCCAAGAGCCTTCACCCACACTATTATATAAGTAAATAAGTAAATAAATAAATCAATAAAATCAATCAACATCTTCATAGAGTCCAAAAAGGAAGAAAAGTGGAGTTTTACCAGCTCTTTTTATTTGACTTGACTGTGTCTCAATGGCCACAACTCTTATAATTTTGAGCATCTTTGTTCAGAAATTCATGGAAGTTCCAATGGCGCAAATTAAAACCCGCAATATAGTGTTTCTTTATTTCCTCAAATTAATAATTCATTCATATTCCTTGAAAAAGCAATTCAATTTCTGGCCAAAAATTATATTAATACTAACTTTAAATCTTTTGGTTCTACAAATTTCACATCATGATGTAAAACACATTGTAAAATTTTGACAACATTTTAACTATCAAATATTTTTTCTATAAATTTGAATGAAAAATTATTAGAGCTATTTGATAAATTAAATTACATATCAAATTTACACATCGAATAACATAAGATTTAAATTTATTTGATGTTATTTACATATAAAACCTGTAAATTATATAGAACTAAAATTTCATATTTCATATTTTATATTTTTGAAAAAATACTTTTAAAAAATGAACCGTCGAAACTTTATTTATTTATTTCTTTATTGATTATACACCTATCAAGGAGTATGTTAGTTTCTAATTTTGATAACAAACAAACAAATTGTAAAAACCATACTTGTCTTGTGTTTTATACATTCAAACAAGTGGCTGGTTAATTTATTGATGATTATTGCCAATGGATGATGGCATTAGTTTAAAAAAAAAAAAAAATCTGTGAAATTTTTTATTGACTATAAAAACGATTATATTTAGCCAATTTAATTTCACTTAAATAATGTATTTTTGAAAAGGTCAATTTTTTAGAAGTTAGTATTAATATAGTTGTTAGCTATAAGTTTAGGACGTAATACTTATTTGACTTTTAAAAAAAGAAAATTACCATTATGTTTTTAATCTATATCATTAAATAACACAAGGTTCTACTTGATAGTCTAAATTCTTACACTCTTACTTTTTTTTTTAAACAATTTGAAAATTTGATGTTCATTAACTAAAATTTTAAGCTTTAAATTACTTAATTATATATTTGGTAATAAAATTTTATTTTAAAAAAGCTATATCAATAAAAAATTAAATATTTAATATATAATAATATTAAAATTTTATTATTAAAAATTTTAAAAATATATTATGATAATAAAGAGTTACCAAACTTCAAAATTACATTATTAAATTTAATTATACTACCAAGCTTACTATGGACAAATAAATTATTTTGCTGTGACAAATTAGTGTAATTATTAGTTATTTTACAAAATTATTTAGAACTTAGTAAATAAAGGTAAAATCATGGATATATATTTGTAACGAAGTTTTTCATGAATAATATAATTGAAATTTATATATATATATATATATATATATAAATTTCAATTATATTATTCATGAAAAACTTC